TAGTAATACCACAAGGGATGCCAGGAATACTTTTCTTGCATATAAAAAAATGCAATTCCAAGAATTGCGGAAATTGATCAATTTTCTGAGCTATTTTTTAAATTTTGGAGGTGAATGCAAACTGCACGACCAAGCTCGCATGCGTCTGCGCAATCCTCCAGTCCAGAAAACACTTCATATCAGATATCAAGTGTGTTCGTTCTCTCCTCTTGTGGATTACACAGGGAATGGCTAAAATGAAAAAAATGACTGCAACTAATAGCTTAAATGCACTGAGATATAACACTCGTAACAAGACTGGCCGGAAACATAATAATTTTTTGACGCCATAGTAAAGATTGTTTCATCCAGCGCAACCGGCGATTGTGAAGAGAAACTGAATAGAGCGGTTGTCTGTTGACAAACACCTTTTCTTGAGAACACCACAGTAAACAAATAATGTGGCATTGTTCACACTGTTAGAAAGCATACATACATAAGTTGGTTCCTGAGCAGTGTGTTCAGAAAGACAATGTTTTGTCTCTGCAATTGTTTGCTGCTGTTACTGATCGAGGTGTGAACATTTCTCATCAAATTTGTGATCTTGCAGATCCCTCGATTTTAACCACCTGACTGCTTTGCCCGAAGATCTCTTTGCAGATTGTCCCCACTTGGACACTTTGTAAGTACCTTAGAAGCAGTGACATGGTGACAAAGATGGGTGTAATGCAGAGGCCGAGTGACAGCCAACAAAATCATTTTGGACGTGTAACGTCACATTCAAAAGTTGCTAACTGCAAAAGTCAAGTACATCACGAACCTCGAAAGTTCTGCATCTTTTCCTCAAAGCAATACACGAGAGGGCTTAGAAGCTCAGGGCCCCTTGCTATGCTTTTTTCCTAGCTCATCATCCATGTTATTAGAACTGATGGAAATGTGTTTTATCATTGATTGGCTAAGAAAAGGAGAACAAAGAAGGAATGGGGGCATCACCCGCAATTTCATCGTACTGTTGTATGACATGTTGTACGACATCCGTATACTGTACAACACCGTATTGATGTCTTTGATGGTACGTGTGGGACAGGTACGATATAGCGTCAGGCATGCAGATGGCACAAACAAACAAAGAAGCGTGGAACTAAAGCTGTGTGAACCCTGGCTAGCGCTAGACGTTACTGAAGTAACGTCTTATGCATAGCTACGGGAATAAACATTCCCTTCTGCCTTGTTTTGTGTTCATGCAGAGGCCTCTATGATAATAAACTGAGAGAATTGCCTTCAGGTCTATTCAGAAATAATCCGAAGCTCTTTCACTTGTAAGTATTCCAACCAACAATCCACCAACGACTAGAGATCGATCATGTTTGGGTTGGGAGGTCATTCAAGAAAGGGTACGAAGCATAAGAGCACGTAATAAGGCCCTGGGCAGAATTGTTAGTGAAGGTCCAGAACAATTTGGGCCTGGGCGCTAATGTGGGCTCAGGGTGTTATTTTGGATAAGTAAAATCAGATTTATTTTCCCATCAGCCTGTGCTACTGCATGTACAACTCCGGTTAACACAGTGTATTGTACGTATAGAATATACACCGATGTCGTAGTGTTTATGGGAATATACACACTGCTATAAAAATCGAGTCGTAGCCGAGGTTTTTTATAGACAGTGTTTATATTCCCATAAACACAAGACAGAGGTGTTTATTCTATTTATACCTAGCTTCGTTTTTGGCCTGAAATACTGGTCCGAAATAGCTATTTTAGTATCCCAGTATACTATAGTATACTATTATGTGTAGGTAGCATTGAGTGTTCCAGAACTAAGACCTATCTTTCAACCAACATCTGCAACAACACCCTGGTGGCTGGGTGGTCAAGATAGGTGCTTGGGAATCTTATGGTTGCAGGTTTGATTCCTGCTGGAACTTCTTTCTTCTCTTCAATTTTTTTCTTTTTCAATTGGAGAGAAATTTTTGAAGTCCCTTGAAAGTTGAAACTTTACAACCTCTATGGGGCCTTTTATATGTGCAACTCTAGCCTGGGCTGGAGCGAGCGGGCCAGCCTGCCAAGGGTGTTTACATGTGCAAGGCCGGGCTGGTTGCCAGCCCGCAGTGAGTTTATATGCGCTGAGCAGACGCCAGCCCGTTGTGAGTATGCAGCAAACACACTACGACTGTAATGTGCTGCCCCGGGCTGAGACGCAGGGCTGCAAGCCATACTCAGGTTAAAAACATAAAAACTTTTTTTCTCACACAATGTATTCTTCTGCTGATTTCTTTTCGCGCTGTGACACATGTTTGGTGTGTTGTATCACCTCGTTTCTTTTTCCTGTTTTTCACATTTTTAGCTGTCCATATCAAAGTATTTTGCAAGTAGTTCCCCTTCCATTTTAATGTAAATCATGCATGTCGACAAATAAACAGTGCTCATTGCACGTCCTTCTTGTTTCTGTACAAAAAGCTTCCTAGATTTTCAAGACAATATCGGAAATCCTCCTTATAACTTCCCTCAAGAGGTAAAAGTACCTATTTTTGCAGTACGAACGCAGTGTCGATACCATAATAATACATATCTGGCCCGGGCTGGTTTGTTTATTATGTGCTTTTTCTGGCCCGCCTAGCCGGGATCCCGGGTGACTCGAGGCGGGATCCCGCCTCGCCGGGCCAGCCCGCTTGCCATGTAAACGCACCACAGGTTTTGTGTGGATTTGTGTATAACCCCGAGATCCCGTTGCAGGCGGGCTGGCCCGCCTGTTGACCAGCCCGGGCTGGAGCTGCACATATAATCACCCCCTAAGTGGGTAATATAGCAAAGTACATACCCAAAGTTAAAGTGGTGAATATGGAGATATATTCACTAGTGATAGATCACAGGAATTAGTGGGGGTTAATATGAGCTGGGTACAAACGAAGTTATACTACAGTGCCGTACATACACAGGAAGCATGGGTGCTTACACGGATGTGGGCTAGAAAACTGGATAAGAGTGTTGACACTGGGCACCTGGGTGTGTAGACGGTGGTGGGCGTTATTTCCACTACGGTGGGAACAACATCATCACCATCATCAATCAACATCATCAATCAACATCATCAATCAACATCATCAATCAACATCATCAATCAACATCATCAATCAACATCATCAATCAACATCATCACCATCATCAATCAACATCATCAATCTCACTGTAGCCATCACCAATCTCCATTGTCTTTCCTTCACCACCAACGGTCACTTCACCGCTTCTTGTTCACATCACGTTTATGGTCACTTATGGTCCCAGGCCTGGCACACGCACTCGCATCCCTGACAACTTGATTGTTACTATTCATTTCACTAACTGTATCGCTCCAGCAGGGCATCAAAGAGGTGGTAAACTGGATGAAGATCTGGAAGCTACAGCCCAATGTCCAGAAGACCAAAAGTGTTGTATATATCTGCATGTCCTCCATCTGCACCTTTGGCATTTCCGAATTGCACCCAGGCCCTGGAAGTTGCAACATCTAACAGGCACCTAAGAATCATTCTTGACTCTAAGCTATCATGGTCCGAACATGCTGACCATATTATAAATTTGATATTGACAATTACTCTCCAGACAGCTGTTTCGCTCTTACTGAGCTCATCAGTGGAGACATATGATGTTGAATGAAAGAATAATAAGAATAGACTGATCTTTATAGGGCTAAATTGGCGCAATTGTGCCAATGGAAACAATATAAATTTGGCATACCCTAAGTGACAAAAGCGACAAAAGTGATAACAAGGTCAGGTGATAACGACACTGATGAGCTCAGGAGGAGCGAAACAGCAGTCAGGAGGGTCATTGCCAAGATCAATCTATATACCGGAATTGTCCTCGCTGTGGTGATGATGAAGTGAGTGCAGATTTTGGATCGGCCAAGAGCGCAATGTGGTGGTGTGGCTTAATGTGTGGAATGAACAAACATCATCCGGTATAGCCAAATTTCCGATTTCACTCAAAGTTGGTTCTTTTCATCCCTGTGTGGACCTTGTTTACCTACTATAACACTGCGGGCAGCTAGTGCAAGTGAGTTTTTTTTTTATTCTGTGAAACGCTTACATTAAAAAATCTAAACCTCTCTCAGGAGGGCCCAGGCTTTGTCCCAAAGAGAACATTTTTTTGTCAATTCTTGATTTTCCAACTGCAATGCATACCTAAAATGCCCGAGTGCCCAACTGCTACGTCATGATTTCTACTTGTGAGACGAGGCATTGATGCACAAGTGAAACTGGTGTGCACTGGCTGCCCTGTAAATTTGGGCCGTCTTGCGCTAATGTTGCACTATTTGCTGATTTGTTGTGGAGGCATAGAAAGTTAATCCACTGCAGGTGATTCCACCCCAGCCCCAACCACCAACAGCACCATTGTTGCTGGTGCCAGTAGTGGCAAGGGCTTTGGCAGCATCACATGCGCTCGTTGCTTGATTGGCTCGCCACCGCCTTTTTGGGGTACCTGTTCATTTGTTGTTAGCCACACGCCTGTCGCATGCCGCAACAACTACACAAATACCACAAGTTCGTATTTGGTCTGGCTCGTTTAGGTCACTTACCTTTGGCTGCTTGAGGTAGAATTTTGAGGAGCACATCTTCCATTTAAGCGGTATTTAAGGCAGGTTTTTAACTATGGAACTGCCCCTGCCCCTTTGCCCATTAGGGTGGTGGCTGCGCTATTGATATGGAACATTCAGGTGAGCAGGGTTATCACTAAGAGACCTTATTTATTGTCCTCTCTATCACTTTGTAATGCAGGAATTTGGGCCATAATTTCTTTAGCGAGCTGCCGTCGGGTCTTATCACATACAGTCCTCTTATTCGTTGGTTGTAAGTATGGTGAACGTGGATTGAGTAACACAATGTTTGTTAAAAATCTCTCTGTACCGCTAAACCATGGTGGACAACAATGAATTTGAATTATTATCCACTTTCACTGTGAGAAAATCCGCTTTGCCCGATGGACAAGGTTACGAGCAAGTTCAATTTTTAGGAAGTGAGCTTGAGCAACTTCTCGATAAGGCTACCCAATGGCCTGACTGACTCACGACTGACATCCGGAGCACACAAGGAGCACGCTGCAACTTCCACTCGGCAAACCTGCAAGAAAGCACCACTCCCTGCCCAATACACAGTATTTCGGGGAATTCACCCCTCATCAGTTGAGTGCGCACAGATGAGTGCCTACTGTTGTTGTTTCTCTCGGCCTTTTTTTATTCACAATGTAGGTGTCTGCTGGCATGACACTCCTTTTCTGTTTTCTTGAACATTATTTAGTGCCTAAAAAGCAACACTTATAAACTGCTCCCCAGGTCAAACCATCACCAAGGATACAAACTTACATACGCGCTTTGTTTCCAGCGCGACAAACACCTATTGAAGCCCCAGGTAGCAGTATGAGTTGCTCATGGAGTTGTGCTGAACTGACGTTAAGAGCCAGTTTAGCTATTCGCAACGCTGTCACCTCCAACAACTAGTCGCACGTCCGCGTGGGGGACAACAATACGAACTTAGAAGTTGCGACTTCGGCGGTAATAGTCATGAAGTTTGTTGATCCAACGAGGAACACACGCTTCTTGCCAAACTTGACACTTGACTGACTCACGACTGCCATCCCGAGCGCATGAGGAGCGCGTCGCACCTTCCACTCGGCAAACCTGCAAGAAAGCACCACTCCCTGCTCAATACACAATAATCACGCGTGTGTGCTATGGAAGTCGTGAGTCAGTCAAGTGCGAAGTTCGGCAAGAAGCCTGTATTCCCCGTTGGATCAATCAACTTGGAAGGGTAAATGTAATAAATGTATATACTGAAAGACATGACCTGATTACTCTTGATGATTGCTTTCCTACAATCCTATTTGTTCTATGTCCAGTTCCCTTTACCGCGCCAAGAATTTACGCCTGAATCACCAGTTGTGTGAATTAGTAACCCCAAGGAATTTCATGACAGCTTACTACGACTTCACTGCAAGCATAGAGGTCAAGAACTACATAAAAGAAAGTAAGTTTCGTGGATTCTTCTGAAAATTCTAAGATAGCAGGTGAGAAAATGTATTCGAGGGTAGCAATGGTCGGCTTTAGAGCGCATGGAGGAGGAGAGTTCTATGTACATCATTGAAGTATATGAAAATTCGTGTTGCATAATAAAATGACGATATTACAAGAGATACATAGATCAGTTATTTCTTCTTTTCTGGATCTTCTAATTAGAACACAACGGCTCACTCTTCTTGTATGACTTGCACACTTGCTAAGGTTTGTCTTCTCTTATAGAAGCTATTCTGTCAAAACCATAACTGAAAAAGAAGAAGAAAAGTTTTAACCGGGGAGGTTCGAATCCGCGAGGGGCAAAAGTAATAATATTTCATAATATTTCTACTTCAAACCTGTGCAGAAGGATGCTCAAAGGACTAAATTTCGATTGAGGTACGAGCCACCTTAAATTATTCTCTAATTAATGTGAGGTAAAGCCACTCACTACACACTTTCTCTCTCTCTCTCTCTCTCTCTCTCTCTCTCTCTGTCTCTCTCTCTCTCTCTCGTTCTCTCTCTCTGCTACTGGCGTGCCTGGTTGTGATGAAGCCGAGACCCAAGGTCGGCAGAGCATCCCAGACCACGCCACCACTCCCCTTATTCATGGCTCACACATGACGAGGTTTCGTGGCTCTTGTAAAAAAAAACTTCTTTCTTTATCATTCTATTGGTTTGGAGAGACTTCCATGATAGGTATATCCATTTACCTCTGGAGAATCCGTAAATAAAAAATACAATGTAAATTAAACATGATATCGGGTAACTCATCCGTTATCAGTTGAGACTGATCAAGGTTAGGAAACATGTTCTCCGGCAGCACTACATTACATAGCCATCAAGCTGTCAACACATCACCAGAGGTGGATGCTGACAGTGACTCACTGTGTGGTGAAGCTGTGTCTATTTGTTGGAGGTGACAGCGTTGTGAAAGGCTAACTTCTGGTGTCTGTTTTGCATCACTGCATTAGTGGGTCAGACTCACATTCCTAACTGGGGCATCACAAGGCAATGTGTTCATCATGCTGGAAATGGAGTACGAATACTTCTACCAAAGTAACCAACACCACAACATAATGATCTTGTTATAGTTCACCACCTATCATAAAACTTCGTGTAAAGGGAGTCCTCTCTGCCTTGAGGCACATGCAGCCCCTCGTATTGCCCAAACACCTAATACTTCATTGCTGGTTGATGTGCGTGCTTGTGATTTGTTGCAGACCTACCTGAATCCTTCTGTCACAGTAGCTGTGAAAACATACCAAAGAATGAGCGTAGGTGCCAGAGTGGCTGCATCGGGACTGTCTATAATTATACTTGTGTTGGTGAGTCGTCCAGTATATGCAAGGACCTTGTTGTTCTGTTCAAGTACCGCATACGCACAATTACATTAGAGCCTGCCGGCTCAGAAAAAAAACATTACATCAATCAACGATATCAGGTGACAACATATGCGATAAATTCACCACTAGAAAGTAGTGTTTCTTTCACCTCTCATTTTCTCGCGCTAGTTAGGGTCTAAATTATTCCTTGCATTGTGCGGATATATATTGAGTTTAGAGCTAATGTTGATTTGCCAGTAATCCTCTGATGTGATGGTGACGAAAACGTTTAGGAACAAGCTTCTCTAATGGTGTTTGTACTGAGTGCGCAGCTTACTCTATTTATTGTGTTGAATAATAATAATAGTAATAATATTACAGGGTGCGACAGAGCTCTCGGCCATTGAAGAAAATGTTGAGTCACCTCCACCACCACACTGCGCTCTTTAGCCGACTAGACCCTCCTGCACACAACCATCACCATTGCGAGCACCTTCCGTAGACGATATTGATAAATTCCTTCAGACAGCTGTTTCTTTAATACATAGCTCATCAGTGAAGGTAGATGTTGAATGATTAAAAATATATTATATGGAAACCCCCTATATAATAGCAGTTCGGTCTATATCTTTAATCAAGGGGGAAGCTTTGCGAGAACGAATTGTCCTGATGAGCCGTCACGAATCATACGGCGAAACGTACGTTGTGTGAAACAACTTGTTTTGTAGTCAACTAGTCCATCACAATGTCATGCATGAGGAGTACTGTAGGAGTTTGGATTTTGGCTTGTACAATTCGTTCTCGCAAAGCTTCTCCTTCTTAAATTATCTTTGATATTTTCGACCCACCCAAGTTGGGTGGTGTGCTGCTTTGCTGCTTCGAATTGTAGTTAGACCGTTTTGTCAAATCGCCTACTGGTCTCGTCATCGTCCAGCGACAATCGACATTCTTTGTTCCGTTGGGACTGTAGCTTGTGCTAGTTTTCGTTGCGGTTTTTTTTTGTAGCCAAGGACTTTGTGCGGCCGTGGGCGGTGAAAGAAAATTAGAAATCATGACAAGGCTACAGAGGAGTTACGCCATCCTTATTAAATAATAATAATAATAATATGAAGTAGTGGTTGCGATTTCGGCGATGATTTGTAATAAAGGATTTGCTCCCCACACCGGAGCTCGCGCTATTCCGCCGACTTTACTTGACACTTGACTGACTCACGACTGCCATCCAGAGCACACGAGAAGTCCATCAAACCTTCGGCTCGGCAAAACTGCAAGAAAGCACCACTCCCTGCTCAATACACAGTGTTTTGGGGAATTCACCCCTCATCAGTTGAGCTTGAGAAGGCTGAGGAAGATTGTGCCTGAAGAGCACCACTTATATAGTGCTCTCCAGGCACAACATCACCAGGGATACAAACTTACAGAGACGCTCCGTTTCCAGCGCGACAAACACCTCGTGAACACCAGATAGCAGCGTGAGTCAGTGTTGCTCCTGGATGGTTAGACAGACGTCGAGGACCCTTGGTCATTCGCAACGCTGTCAGCTCCAAACCAACTAGTCGCAAGCCCGCGCTGGGCACAACAGTACTTCGTAGTAGGTAGTCCATTTTTGTGATCACTCTTTTTGTATTCGAATATGTCCTGTCCTCCTCTATCTTCTTGTATTAAAATATGTTCTGTCCTCCTCTATCTTCTTGTATTCGAATATGTCCTTTCTGTTTCTGTTCGTCTCTCAGTATTTTTGCTTTGGTTTTTACAATCCTTTTTGCTTCGGTCTTCATTGCGTTGCCCATTTTGCTATTTTTTTCTCTCATTACCCTTGGTCTCGTTAGGCCCGGTTATGAGGTTCTTACCTCATGTCATGCCAACGTGAGTGAAATAAAGCCAACTCCATGATAATAAGATGTTGGATTTTGGACTGAGTTTCTTTCCTTTCTTCCTCTTCCTTCCCCTATTTCTTGTCCCTTTGGTTTTTGGCTTTTTATTTTATTTTTTTCATTTTATTTTTGCTGTCCCACCCATGGAAATATTTCCCGGTGGGTCTGGCTTACCGCCTTCGAAAGAAGTGAATAAAGGAGACATAATAATTATGCCACAGCACGCGTGCAAAGGCCAAAGAACAATGCATGAGAATACACTGAAATTAAGCCAAGTCCGCTTCTGCTGACTGTATAATATCTGGTTAATTGGTGGACAGTTTGTCATAACTCTGATAGTTCTTGTACTAAGATTGAAGTTGACTTGGTGTTTGATTACTGTACTGCTTGATGTCTGAATTACAATTTTTTTTTCTATTTTTTCTTTCTTTTCCTTTCCTTTCCACTTATCCCGTTATCGGCCCTCTTAAGAGTTGTGTGTATCACTGTTGAGGCATCCGATGGTAAATAAAATAAATACTACTACTACTACTAACTCGTAACATTTTGTCCTTTTCCTTTCTTCATCATAACTATATTGGCTCACCATCCGAGTTCAAATATTTTACTATTATTACTTTTTTCGGCAACGCGGATGATGATGATGATGATGATGATGATGATGATGATGATGATGATGATGATGATGATGATTGTTTTTGATTCACACCACCCAACCCGGCAAATATTTAGATTTTGATAAAAACGATTCAAAGCCTCCCAATTATTTTGTAAAACTTGAAGTATAAATAATTTGTAAGTGTAGAAAGGAAAAGGAAGTACAGATACGAGTTAAGAGTCGCGCTCTATTTCCTTTTCCTTTCTAAATTTATTATTGGCTCAACATCCGAGTTTAATACTGTGGTAGCAAGTCTTCAGTGTACAATCATCTGCTGGCTAGTCCTGAATGTTGCAATTCGTATTCCGACTCTTCTTTCACTGTATTGTGCCGTTGTTGTCATGGTTATGGACTACAGTTAAAAGTTTTGGAAGTCATCTGTCAGCGTCTGTATAAGCCTATTTTGTGTGTACAGAAAAATAGTATAACTGGGTTGAAATTGTTCAAGTAAAGTGTCATGTTTGGTGTGGCCAAGCTTGGCCGTTAATGTTCTAGGTGTAGTGTACTGCTGTTATTTGTTATCACTTTGTCCTTCCTTCTTTTTTTCTCCTCTTTGTTCATTTTTCAGTTGCAAGTTTAGTGTTAGTAAACACATTCGATATTGCTCTCGCTTTCATTGTTAAAATTCACACTTGTAAATTTCACTGCTGTTGTTCTTAGTGTTATTTCTCTAACTTAGATCTTCTATAAAAGTTCAATTTTGTTTTCAGTGTCCTATGTACAACGAAGATTCCTGATGAGTGTTGTTCGAAAACTTGATTGAATCCTTACTTTCTCTACACTATTTCTTCACATTTTCATCGTTTTATTGCACATTGTCACCACGGTTTTACATTACATGAACAAAATTAAAAAAATTCACGGTTCGCGTGAAACTCGGCTGGAAGCCGGGTTTTCCGCATCCGTAGGAACGCCACCACCCTTCAAGGATCAAGGCGCAAATGCAGTTCCTAAAGTGGTTGGGAGGTGAGTAGATCAGCTCCTCAGCAAGTGGTCAAAGACCGAAAATCCCATTCACTGCATCCATGTTTTCCTCGTGCCAGGCCACGAGTTCCGAATTAACTGTGGGTCGCAGCACGGCTAGAATAAATCCTTCCGCTTCCAAGCAGGACTTGAACCTGGCACCCTCTGTTTCTCAATCATGGTCTTAGACCATCCCACTATGCCTGCCTGCATACATGAATAAAGTGTACACAAATGTCGATCCAGCTTGTATTACTGATTGCGGTTATCAAATAATAATATTATAATATACTTTCACAAAAAACAAGCTCGGTGCAGCACTAATCACGGGAGGGGAACCCGACCCTCCACCATCGCCAACTCACGAAGCATGTGAACTGGATGGTGACGGGCCAACCGAGCACCCCAGACACACAATACAGCGGAACGTAGCAGCGCGAAAGACACCCGACAGCGATAAGAACCCATCAACGACGAGTAGCTACCTCCCGAAGATCGAGACATAAGCAGGCAAGAGCGCCTGAGGAAGGCCGTGGATACCGGCGCAGCTGCCCCGGAAAACACCGAAGGTGCACAGGCACCACGCTCAACAATCACTACTCTCTCCTGATATTGAAGTCTATTAGCGCCCTCATGTTGCTGGAAGAGCGCGTCCAGGCTTCTGGACGCATAGGAAGAAGCATCAGGATTAAACACCCTTACATCAAAAAATGCATCTTGCCCATGCGTCGAGAAACCAGAGGTGTTCGCTGACCTGGCCTAAAAAACCTCACCCTCGACAGGGGTAAGAGGTGGCTCTACAGACACACCGGAGCAAACCTCAGTCAAGGTAACTGCGAACAGATCTCGTAGTTCCTTGTGTTGAATAGTTGGGAATCCCCCAAACGCACAATTCAAAGCATGGCTAGTGGAAAAACGCGTCCGACAAGCACATACAGCAGGGGTGTCACGCAGCGGCCAGTCATAGCATTACGCAATAGCATCGCGAAAGCCTCCCTTGGATAATTCAAAACCATGCTCAGCAATAGGGAGCACCGACAGACATGATAAAACATCTGGGCGACCCAGTTCTCCCACGCGACGATTAACTTTCAAAGACAGGTGCGATTGAAAAGCACGCAAGCGCTCTGCCTGTCGCTCACCCGCCACTTTACGACACACCCGCTTGGCGCAAGCTACGGCGGATAAAACTCTATCAACCTCATCCGGACCATTTGAGAACTCCTGTCTCCCAATGAGCGTCATAAGGCCCTCGGTAATACGGCCAGAAGCCTCCAACTGCTCCCTCACCATCTCGACAACAGACGGCAGGCCAATGCCACCGACCTGAGCAGGAAGCCGAAAAAGCGAAAGCTCAGTGTCCGTAGAGGACAACCGTCCGGTAATGGCATGGAGGGAAGCACCTGCCAAAGCAATATCAAACCTGTTTCCGGTCCACTCTACTACATTCCATGATCACCACGTGGAACTCCCTGCCTACCGAGATTAGGATATCTGAAACCCGTGGTGTATTTAGCCGGCACGTTAAGTCCCATTTCCGCAGGTATAGATTCCATCCTCGAGGTTTTCTCACTTCCTGATTACCCCCCTTCTTTACCAGTACCCTTTTCGCTTGCTTCTACTCAGACTTCTTATTTAACCTCTTCACATTAATCTTTTTTTATCGTAATATTTTCTTTCTTTTAAGAATTGCACCCTATTGCACACGCATTGTACACGTATATTTATTCTCGGAGACCCCCTTGATTTAGGCTTCGGCCTTTGGGGAATCCCTCAAATAATAATAATAATAATAATAATAATAATAAACTGCTCAAGTGACTATGGAGCTATCGCAGTGGTCTGAAGTAACGACCCCACAGCCCATGTACTAACGCGGAATACGCGGCTATGATACCGCGAAACCACTTAGTTTATCAATTTGAACACACCACTGGGAGACTGCGCGATGCACGAACGTGTTAATAAATTCCTCAGATCCAATAACACATCAACAAATCTGGTTCAATTTCCTTATTGGAGGGAATACCGTCCCAATCCTTGAAAAAATGCGAATAAACTGGCAAAAATGTGCACACATGGTGCACTCGGGCATGAAGTGCAGGTCATTTTTTGTAAGATACTAATACACAAGAGAGAGAGTTTGGAAGCTTTGTCGCAACTCCGAGTTTCACGTATCTCTACGATCATCAGGCAACTGATAGATCCAAAACGGGCAGCCAGAACATAAGGGGGAGCAAGGTGGGAAATTCCGAGGGGTGTCATAGGCGACGCGTATCATAGCGCAAGAGTCAGGTGCAGGCGTGAAGTTGCCAAGTCTTCAGACTTGGGGCTATGCAGCAGTAGTTCCGGCATAAATGATATAGAATAGGGCTGGGGACAAATGCCAAATCCACACATACCCACACCACTACACAAACATATACCCACACTCTCTCCCTTTTCTCACATACACATACACTCACACGCGCATCCGCACACACATTCTCTAAATCTCTATCTCTCACACACAGACACACACACACACATTCATTCTCTATATCTCACACATGCACACGCACACACACATTCATTCTCTATATCTTACACACACACACACACGCATTCTCCAAATCTCACACACACATTCTCTAAATCTTACATACACACACACATTCTCCAAATCTCACACAAACATTCCGTCTCTCTCTCTCTCTCTCTCTCTCACACACACACACACACACACACATACTAATAGTTCAAAGTAGTGGTTGCGACTTCGGCGATGATTTGTAAGAAAGGGTTTGCTCCCCACACTGGAGTTCGCGCTATTCCGCCTACTTTACTTGACACGTGACTGACTCATGACTGCCATCCAGAGCACACAAGAAGTCCATCGAACCTTCGACTCGGCAAACCTGCAAGAAAGCACCACTCCCTGCTCAATACACATTGTTTCGCGGAATTCACCCCTCATCAGTTGAGCTTGAGTAGGCTGAGGAAGATTGTGCCTGAAGAGCACCACTTATATAGTGCTCTCCCGGCACAAACATCACCAGGGATACAAACTTACAGAGACGCTCCGTTTTCAGCGCCACGAACACCTCGTGAACACCAGCGGAATAGCACGAGCTCCAGTGTGGGGAGCAAACCCTTTCATACTGATAGTTCCCGGTTATAAGTCGAATCCGGGTTGTAAGTCGACCCCCATCCCTTCTCCTTCTCTTTTGAGTCGTGAAATGTCGACTTACAACCGGAAAAATGCGGTAGGTGACATAATTCGCATCTTTTTTTGGCGCTACACTCTGCGTTTACATACTGCTCTTGTGTGGCTTCCACTGAATTCATTGGTATTACCTGTGCCGAAATGTTGTAAAAAGAACGGAACTGGTTCGGATGTGATGTGCAGCGCTATGAGAATGGGTGTGTCCACCCGAATTCCTTTCATAATAATCTCTATATTGCATAATCCTAAATTCTAATCGTTTGTGTGCAGTTATGACATCCCACTGACGTTTCCATACTCTGTGCCTTGTGCTTTTCCTCCAAACACTTTCTTGATGCTGCTTTTGGTGCTAATGCAGATGCTGACACCACTTCTCAAAATGCTAACAAAAATGTCGCACAGCAGCAAAAAAGTCCAGTACCTACACCAGGTGAGATTGAAATCATTGAATTCAACTTGTCCGCATCATACTTCCTAATATTGCATGCTGTCCGCAGATTGAGTCCCTCCTATTATTGTTATTATTTTAAAAGGAAGGTAAGTTTTGGGTCTCAAGTATCCACGCAAACATACACCGAGTCATAATAAGGCACTTGTCAAAAGTATCCGAACATTTTCGGTCCCTTCTCATCCAGGAAGATACAGGGAATGGCTCAATTCGGAAAGACTAAAACTTATTATGGCGTAAAGATAATGAGATAACAACACTCGTCACAAGGCGGAAAATTATCAAGTTCAGCACGACACAAAACTTGAAGGAAAATAATAATAGTGACCACAACATAGTGAGCAGATTAAGTTACATTGTTAACACCTCGACGAGGAGTAACACCAAACAATTGTCATGAAAACACATTTTCTTTCTGTACGCAAAGTTCAGGAACTAACTTTCGGATATACAAAACTTCTAACACAGCCAGATGCAACGCACAGGGGACAATATTGAGAAAACATTATCACTCTACAACTCACGACAATTGGTACGGGCTGACTGTTGTTGCTTGATTAACGAAATACAATTCTTGGCTCAGTTGGGTGTTGTCTCTTCCAATGTCCCGTCATCTCGCGTGCATCAAGCGGAACAAAACTTAACGGCACATGTTGACGAATGCGCACGCCCAGGTGCTGAAGGGTTCTACCTACATAACGATCTTCACATTGACGGCATTGAAAGAAATAGATAAGGTTGCTTTTACTAAGGGTAGGTAGAACGTCCTTGTAGTTTCACCAACACTCCAAAACACTCAAAAGCTGTGCTTAGTATATGGAGATAGTGTAAATTTGATAAGAAAGACAAAGCAAACTCTATGAGCACCAAAGAAAAACTCTACCATGAACAAGAAAGCCACCAAGACAAGGCTACCTCTTGCCCAGAGGAACAGTCCCGAAAAGGTGCTAGGAAACCAGAAACGGATACAAGAAAAGAAAAAGTGCAAAATTCCGTACTGCACCGCACTGTGCGTGAGAGCCCCGCACGGGATCTTCGCAAACTTCGCGGAGAGATTCAGGACACGCATTGCCAAAAGGAGAAGTGTGAAGAGGTCAAAAGTACAAGTGCGATTCCAGTGCAAAACAGCAGATCACAGAAAACTATCGCAGGCAAGTCAAACTACTTTCGAAATTGTCGCAGTTGGACTAGTGACTTGTCACTTGTTACTGACAACTCCATAAGCTAAGCAATTATTACACAGTATGATAGTCTGAAGACTAGAGTAACATTCCAGTACAGTTGGACTGAGAGTCTTCATGAAGAGATGAAGTCCTCGTCGTCGCTGATGTCAATGGACGCAAACATATCGTTCCGAAATATTTCAAGGAAGGTTGAAAGTTGGTCGTGCCTCATCTCAAACGCTTTGACTTTCTCCACAGGACAAGAGCTGCTATGCTTGTCGTCTGCTAGCTCTGGATGATCTGGATGACCAACGAAGCCTAGTAAGAATACACGATCGTTGCGAGGCCGGTTGATTACCGTCGGCGGAATCACCTCGATCTTGAAAAGAACATTTTTTAGCCGGGGCATGCCCATTTATTTTAGCTGTGTGGTCACAGCTCGTGCAGGTAAGTGAACTATCACGTCCGGCGCGCCCTCTTTTTCAGCATCACTGGTATACCATGGTACGGCACCTGCGCGTGCATCACTAGCACTACGTGTAGAGTACACACCGCTCTTGCAGGTACAATCATGTACTGAGTGTCTCAGCCAGAGCAACACATTTTACCGCTGTTGCAGGCATTTAGTTTGCTGACCCCTGGATATTTCTCCAAGCGCTGCTACTTGTTCCACGAAGTCATTCTCACCCCAGCTAAGGTAAAACAGTGATGAGGCTTGAGTGAATGGCCATTAGCACGAGAAATGTGCAGGCTGCAACGCCTAACTGATCTCAGCGAGTCGAATTTCCATCGCAGCGACATCAGCGAAGAAATTGAGTCTAGTTCAAAAATTCCAGCTTCCAATAACAGAAAATAGAACTTTGCCGTCACCCTATACTAATGACTATCACCTATGTCCGATTCCTTGCCTCTGGTACGAGTGCTGGTGAGTAAACACCACGTTTTATATCAAAAGTCAAACTGCGACAATTTCGATGACGCGGAGGAAGTACACGTATGCATGGCTACCAGATCCCGCGGATCTAGCGCTAGCAACAATCGCGCGTGATCACATGATCAATGATGGAATAATTCAAAAATAATTCAAAGATGTTGCTGCGATTGCACACTTCGGCAGCTGGCACAGGGCAAGAAAGAAAAGAAACGAATTCAAAAACAGTTCGAACACAACGAAGAAATAAGTTTGAGAGAACAATAAATTTATCAAGTAGAACAAATTCGTTGATCCCCGAGCTGCAGAGAGTGCTCAATGTCAGAGACAGAGCTTAGTACATAGCAGACTCAGCGGAGGACGTTCAGGTTGGTTGCAACTCTGAGTTTCATGCCGCTAGCCAATCATCAGACAACTGATACTCGGGTCTACCCAACAGTATGCTTATAAACACATAGGGCCACAAGCATAAACAAATTTAGCGCTAAATCTGGTGTGAGGCATGGGGAGAAAGCTGGCGCGGGCCAAGGCGCGACAGTGGAAGTGCCAGGAGGGTGGCGGTCAACAGGCAGGTGTGAGCATGAAAGCACGGAAAGAGGCGAGGGAGAGGCAGTGTACAGCAGATGGGTGGAGGTGCCAGGAGGGTGGCGGGCAATGGCCCAGTGAGATCGCTACAAGTAGGGAGTCGTTTGGTGACGGGCAGGCGTGAGCAGAGTGGCATCGCCAACATCAGGCCAAGGGATTGTGTTATTAATAATAATAATGGGTGCTCAGGCAAAGTGCAGTACAGTACTTGGTTAGTTCATTTTATAGGTGTGAAATTTGCGAGGCGGAACTTGTTCTCATGCCTGCATTTCGAGACCATCTCAGACTGCTTGTTGAGTAGGAGCTTCTTGGGTGTAGTCAGGATGTGGAATTTTTCCGCAGTACAAAGATTGCATTTTTTTGACTCACATCTGTATGATCGGCTTTTCTTCCGCACCTTCCATTTAATGATCAACGGCTTTCCTTCGCTCTTCAGCTCCCATACGTGTTTTGCGAGCTCAGTGCTGTTTTTTGTATTTTTCATGACGCATGTAGGTCAGGTGGTTGGCGTGACGGGCTTTCAAAGGTGTCTCTGATAGGCCGATGTAAATCTTGCTGGTAGATTCTGCCTCATACACAATCTCCTTCGTCTGGCACTCTCCACGCAGCGGGCAGGATTCCTTGATTCTACAGTTGCATGCCTTGGTTTGTTCTGGCTCTCGCAGGTTGCACTTGTTGTGGCTGCTGATGACCGCTCCCATGTTGGGCATGCAACTGTAGCTCACTTTCAGAGTGTTACGGTTGAAAATCTTCCCGAGCTTGGATGTTTTCGGGAAGTGCCTGGAGACAAGGCTCAGGAACCTACCAGCGACGTTTGTGCTAACGTTTTTGGAGTAGCGAGGGTTGAACCATATGACCTTCCTGCTCCTGTGCTCATGTGCCTCGGGCTGAAAACTCAGCACTTCGGTGTATCCACTGGCCTTTAATGCGGTCTGGTACACGGGGGCTGCATGGTTGAATGCCTCCGCGTCGCTTGATATAGCGGAAAGGCGCTTGTTGACAGCAGCAGGGATGTTGTTGGTGATCCCAGGAGGGTGGTTGGACTGCTTGCTGACGTAGACCGGGTTGTCATTTGGCTTTCGGAAGGGTTGAAATTTCCCGGTGTCCAGGTTCATGGTGACATCCAGGAAACCCACCACCTTCAAGTTCGCTTCGATGGTAATTTTTAGGTTGAAGCGCTTGAAGATTTCCGTCATCTTTTTTCTGAGGCGGTCTGCAGCCTGTGGGCTGGTGTCCTTGAGGGCGGCCAGTCCATCGTCTCTGAAGAGGTCGATAGCGGATCTATCAACGAGGCTTGAGAGCTGGTTGAGAAGAAAGGCGCCCACAAGTTTGCACGTCTCGGCGCCATCGTAACTTCCCCTTGTTACGTCAAACATGTCGCCCTTGTCCTTCATCCAGGGCGGCCATCGTGGAATAGGAGCGATTTCCGGGCGTGAAAGATGATGTCCATTTCATGCGGCTCGATCGTGGTGAATTTCTCCGCGAACGATAAGGCCTGACGGAGGAGCTGCTCACCAATTGACAGGTAGAATTCTACCACGTTAAAGCATAGGAACCTGTGGCGCTGTTTGTCGGGTATCTCCTTGAACCACTCGATCACTGACATGGTGCTCCTCCATAGGTTCGTCAATCAAGCAACATCTGTCAGCCAGTACCAATTGTCGTGAGTTGTACAGTGATAATGTTTTCTCAATATTGTCACGTGGTAGATGTCGGCATTCTTTGTTGCCGTCGTGCGTAGCTTGTGCTCTTCTTCATTGCGCTTTCCTACCCCTCTTGGACCTTTCCAAACTTGAGCCTTCCAAGTTGGAAGGTTTGTTGGTTTGCGCCTTGGAGAAGTGTTGGAGCTAGGTGTCAGGTCGCCGAATATCTCAGCACTCCTTGTCAGTTTTGTGCCGTTTTGTCGCACTCGCTGACTGTATAAGATCTGGTTACGTTGGTGGACCGTTAGTCATAACTCGTAACATTTTGTCCTTTTCCTTTCTTCATAATAACTATATCGGCTCACCATCCGAGTTAAACTTTGTATATCCGTAAGTTGGATCCTGAACTTTGCATACAAAAAGAAAATGTCTTGTCGCTACAATTGTTTGGTGTTACTCCTCGTCGAGGTGTTAACAATGTAACTTAATCTGCTCACTATGTTGTGGTCACTATTATTATTTTCCTTCAAGTTTTGTGTCGTGCTGAACTTGATAATTTACCACTTTGTGACGAGTGCTTTTATCTCATGATCTTTACACTATATAAGTTTTAGTCTTTCCAACTTGAGCCATTACCTGTAAAATCCTTGATGAGAAAGGACCGAAAACGTTCGGATACTTTCGGGCAAGTGCCATATTTTGTCTGGACGTGTGTTTGCGTGGATACTTACGAACAAAACGTACCTTTAAAGTCTTGTAACAAATATTATTATTATATGCAAGTACGCGTTGCTGGGGACCCCATTGGATGGAGGTTGCCCAGGTTCGCTTGTGCCAAACTGATTATGCCAACGCCTTATGACAAAAACATACAGAGAGAAAAAAATTGCGTGGAAACGAAACAAGAACAATATTCGCACAAGCAAAAAGGAAGGTAAACGATAATAAACAAAAAAAAACAAGAACAAAGCAAAAACAAACAAACAAATTCAACGAAGTACTCCTTCATCGAGTAGCACTTCCACGATACGTTCACATGTGATGCCAGTTTGGGGATCCGGTGCACCCATTTCACACATATGATTTCTTTACTGGGAATCCTGTACACGGCGGCTGCTTTTCCGCAAGGGTGTCTAATCGAGTGCCTTTGCCAGCCAGGACTCGTTACAGCCTCTGTAAGCTATGACGTTACTGTTATTGCAGCAACCATGACCAGTTACAAAATCTGTCAACCATGACTTGTTACAAACTCTGTCAACAATGGCTTGTTACAAATGACATCAACCATGACCTTTTACAACCTCTGTTGACCATGACTCATCACAAATTCTGTCAACTACGACTGGTCACAAACACTGTCAACTACGACTGGTCACAAATTCTGTCAACTATGACTGGTCACAAACACTGTCATCCATGACTGGTCACAAACACTGTCAACCATCACTCGGTACAATGTACATGAACATGTACAACCTCTGTCAACCATGACTGGTTACATGCCAGCTCAGTATGTAAATACACAGTCTAAGCATGCCTGGTCACAGGTCTCTAACTAGATGATTCTGAACTGCTGTAACTGTAAGACATGTGAATAAAACCAAGAATGCATAAACAAGAGTATGCAACTGTGGCGATGGGTCAGTGCGCGGCACGCTGCCTTCATTACGTAACTTGCCTTCATCACGCACTGAAAGCATGCATTCAAACTCACAATTTCTCGTGCGAGCCCATCCGTTTTTACTCGATACGTTGCAGTACCTACGCGATATCTAAATTCTGGCGAGTGAACTCCAGTTCCGTACAAAAGTTCATTTCAAACCAGAGGGAAAGTGCGGTGTTTGATTTTCCGCAGTGCGTAGACTGCAGCTGAATGATGTAATGAAGGCAGCGCGCCGCCCATAGAAAAGAGATCACAGTTGCATACTCTTGTTTATGGACTCTTGATAAAACCAGGAAGTAAATAAAATATTTTAATTAACCTAAATTTGGCCGTCACAAGAATTCAGCGTATTCTTGCAGTTTTTTTTCTTTTGTTTCGGCTTGTATTGGACCAATTAAGCATGTTTATAAGTTTGAACAGAATATGTCCATGCGTTATGGAAATATTTATATGTTCCCAAAAGGGAACGTTGGCCGGATTGCGTACCAAAAAGACCCTGGTTTTTATGAAGGGAAGATTCAATATGATATAATGGATTATGTTGTCTTCTAAGTGTTTGTGGAGCAAAGCAAACATGAACAAGCAGAAATGGAGAAGAAATAATATCTAATAGTCGTCAAAGAGTGTCCAGCAATGTTTCTTAGTGTTTTCGTCTGCTACCGTTCGCGTCTCGTATACACCGTGGCATTCGATCCTTGATCGAAATGCAGTCGAACTCTACACTTAGAACAGTAATATATCGTGGTTTGTCTGCACCATTTACAACGACATTGTGTTGTCCACATTCTTGTTTTCAAACGCACTTGTATTGCACATCAGCAGCAAGACACCGGTGCTTCTGGGCGGGGTCGGCTATAATAAAATAGGACGGCGATCTCGGGATGAACCTGAATGTAGGACATCGGGTTGGGGCTCACCGCTGCTTCAAAAATTGGCACTCTCAGATCAGTTGTAAGAATGTGGAGCCAGACAAAAAGAATTACAAGGAATCTCTCAAGATTGTCGGTCTCGGAGCTAATGTTGGCCTTGTCTGTATCGCGGGTATCGCACAGTATTTACTCGTCCAATGGTGTTTAGAGATGTACAGGGTGTGTATATCTCGCGATTGGCAAGTGGGTGATGCTGTAGTGATCTCATGGTGATCGTGAAGGGATTTTTCCAGTTCAACTTCAGGACGCCTATCGTAAACACCAGTATATTTCACCCAACGCGTTGCTCCAGCAGGTTGGCGTTTTTTGCGGTCGTACTCACTATCAACAGGAAAGGCACCAACATCATAATTCTCTCCATTCGTCACGTGGTAGTTGTCTAGGTCCATATCTCTTGCAAGTTCGATGAAACCCTTATCATCCGTTGAATCATCTGATTACTACTCTATTTCATCGTCCACGTTCAGATCAACGAGAAGTGGTGAGCACACATGCACTTTCCCTGGGCACAGCAAATTCACTGCATCAGAATCACGGAATCGTTAGCACCATGCAGTTGTGAATTTGCACTGCTCAGAGAAGGCGCAAGTGTGCCACTTCTTTTTCGAGTTCCTGAGCTGCAGGATGCCTTACCCCTATAGCGCTTACGTTCAGATTGCCACGGTAATCGGTGGCGCTAGGACTAAGTCCTGAAGTGTGTTGGAGTTCTCAACAATGTCCTTCCATTGGAATCACTTTTGAGTCCCTTTCCAGAAAGGACTCTGCTACTGTAAACTTTTCCCTCTGCCGTACCACATTACAGCTAAAGCGATATTTTCTGACCAAAATGCAACCGCGCGGAGAAAAAGATCATCGAAAGTCCAGGAGAACGCCATAAAGCATCCATACTTTGCTGAATATTGTTCAAGTGAATCTTGTTATACAAAAGAAAACCTACTTCAGAAGTATATTCCTTTGGAGACTGTTTAGCAATCTTTACTTCGGCAAATGTCAGCCTCTGACAGCATTGCTGTATTCCGCATGCTAGTGAATCACAAATATATGACCAAATTAGGTTACCATGGATACGGTCCAATCGCCATCAAAACATCAAAAAGGCTCCATAAGTTATATATCCACGTTTACGGACGTTACAAACAAGGAATATGCGCTATATGAGATTTCTTCGATCGTAAGTTCTGTTGGGGCTGTAAGGCGTCATATCTGTTATATGCTAAACATGTCTGAAGACTGCAAGATTGTTAACATATGCGCCCGGATTAGCGAAAACTATCAATGGTGTTTGATATCAAATTAATCAAAAAGTGACGTTGCTTCGTTACTGCAAGTGCTTTTGGGCTGTAAGGCCTCCTATGTGTTATGTGCGGATATGATAGCATATTCTGTCGTTAATCTGTGGATTTAGGAAAACTTGTAAGGCGATTTGTTTTGTTGCTGTACACAGCTATTATTCTAATGAGCCTCAAATATAAAGGTTACTTAAAATTGGCCAGTTTACGTATTCGAAAGATAACGGCTATCATTAGAAATATAAATCTCAGAGGATTTATCCATTTCTGGAGAATGTCTTGTCTTTCACCGACAGATTTCTTCTCATCACCTCGTTAGATTTAGCACTTGATCACATATAAGGCTTTTACAGTCACACACCTTTGCAGTTATATCTCCGAATATGGGAAAAATTACGTTACACAATATTGGTCTGTTAGATGTGAATCACAATTGTTAAATTTGAGCTCTCTGATTTGTTTGTCTCTTAGAGGTGAAGAAGGCCAATCCGCTCTTCACGGATCATGAGGGCAAAATAGTTTGTTTCTACCTCCCAGCCGTCAAGCCTGGCTACTCAAGACAGCTGGTGGGGATTGGACAACATGGCTCGGTGGATGTTTCGAAGGAATTCAAAAATTCTCTAGTGGGTGACCGTAACTATGTGTTCGTCAAACCAGGCTATGATAGCTATGGCTTCCAATATGTTCGTGACAGCGATGGACGTAGGTCACCTGTCGGTGCCGAGTTCTCATTGGGTAAGTAATTAAGGAGTACAAAGGGGACAAGACAACTGATGATTTTGCAATACCGATCCACTTTTGATTATTCAAGTAGCATTTTGAACAATCACTCCTCTTGTAGTTTGAGGTGTTGTGTACTTCGAAAAGGTGGAGAATCGAGAAGCTCACCGTACTAAATAATGTCAAGAACCCGAACAGCCTGAACAAAAGAAGCGAACTCCTATCAAAATGCCACCAGGAGAACAAATAACGTTAACAAAATTGACATTTAGGGTGACATAGTAGAACAAGTTAGTAGCCAGTCGAAGGATTTTTGTAGTTGCACGTCTATGAAAGTGCACATGCCCATAGAATGGAAGTGAAGATGAACAACCACCACGACCACGATGATGACAACGACGACAACGACAACAACCAAGAACCACCAACAACCAACATCAAAAACAACAACAACAACAGATTGCATCGGGTGTTGAAGAGCGATGCCTTGTCACTGCTCCTTATGGCGATTTTCTCCGTTAGGCATAGGTTGCAATGCTTCGAGGTTCTTTTCTACGCGCTGGATCTCTGTCTGATTCTCCACGAGATGTTGACATCTTCACCTGCCTCCTTCAGCGCCCATGCATGCTTTGACAATTCTGTGCTGTTTCTCTGTGGGGCATTCCGGAATGATGACGTGTGGTTGTTGAAAAGGAGCATGAATGGGGTTTCGGAGATGCCGATGTACTTCTTCTGGCTGAGATTTGAGTGCCCTGTAGCTTCGTATCCTATCTCGTTGGTGTTCCAGTCCCCGTTGACAGAGAGATAGAGAGACAGACAGAGACGGACAGAGACGGACAGAAACGGACAGAGACGGACAGAGACGTACAGAGACAGGCAGAGACTGACAGAGAGACAGGGACAGGGACAGGGAGAGAAAGAGAGACAGAGGAACAGATAGTATGTCTGTCTGTCTCTCTCTCTGTCTCCCTATGTCTCTCCGGCTCTCTGTCCCTCTGTCCCTCTGGCTCTCTGTCTCTCTGTCTACATATCTCTCTATCTATCTCTCTCTCTGAGAGGCAGACAGACAGACAGACAGCGACAGAGAGACAGATAGACAAAGACGAAGAGACAAAGAGAGACAGAATAACAGAGAGTCTGTCTGTCTGTCTGTCCGCCTGTGTGTTTGTCTGTCTGTGTGTGTGTGTGTTTCTCTCTGTCTGTCTTTCTCTCTTTCTTTCCATATCTCTCTCTATCTCTATCTCCCTATGTCTCTCTCTCATAATCCTGCTTGGAAATCGTCCGTCTGCAGTTATGACATGCCACTAACGTTCCCATACTCTGTGCCTTGTGCTTGTCCTCCAAACACTTTCTTCATGCTGTTTTTGGTGCTGATGCTGGTGCTGCTGCTACACCTGATGCTGATGCTGCTGTTGCACAACAAACTCCAGTATCCACACCAGGTGAGTTGAAGGCATTGAATTCAACTTGCCTGCATTATACTTCCTCTGCATCAGCTAAGTGTGTGTTTATCTTTTAAGTGCCTGTAAGCTGTTTTTTATAAAGTGGAAATATTTACGTGGAAAACGTGATCCAAGACTTTAGAGAAGGAACTGACATCTTTCATAACTTGCCGTTGATCTTGGCTTAAACTTATTTGCTCAAAACAACAAACTGTTTACCCTGATACGTTACAAACTCTGTCAACTATGACTCGTTACAAACTCTGTCAACCATGACTTGTTATAAACTCCGTTAAGGATGACTCGTTGCAAGCTCTGTCATCCATGACTCGTCACAAACACAACCATTACTCGGTACAATGTACATGTACGACCTCTGTCAACCATAACTGGTTACATGCCAGCTCAGTATGTACATACACAGTCTAAGCATGCCTGGTCACAGGTCTCTAACTACAATGTAGGCAATTATGAACTGCAGGAAAACGAGCGAATAAAACCATGGAGTAAACGAAAGAGCTTGGAAGCTCAGGGCCCTACGCTATGCTTTTTTGCCTAGCTTATTGTCCATGTTATTAGAATTACTAATACTTTAAACAGCTATTTTTCTAACCAGCCACAACTATAAAGATGTCCTTAAATTGGCTGGTTTACGTGTACCAAAGATAACCGCTATCATTACAAATATAATTCTCAGTGCTTACTAGCGACAATATATTTATCCAATTCTGTGGAACGTTTTCCATTTAACTGGACTTAGCACTTGATTACATTTACATTCACATACCTTTACAGTACGGTCGGCTAGGGGTCGCTCCGAGAACTGCTGTCTGCACTGGCTCACTACCGATGGTTCTGGTGAAGCAGTCCGACGTGGCGCCCTCCAGCTTGACGACCAGGGTCGTCGAGCACAGCAGGTGGTGTATCATGCAAATCTCACCTGAAAGGAAGGTACCTCTCATGACCTCGAGCAGCTTACGACGATCCACCGTATCCAAAGCTCTGCTCAGATCCAGGCCCAGGCCATGACACTGCCAGTGGAACCGCTGTGCTCTCGACGCAAGCCAGCGTAAACACCACAGGACGTCACATGTGCTTTTGCCGGAGCGAAATCGTGACTGAACTGGGCCTAGAAAATCCGTTATACAAGCTCGGGTGCGGCGAAGCGTAATGAGGGATAGAGCTTTTCTGCCCGTATTCAGAAGTATAACGGGCCTCAGGTTCTTGACTGGCCCTTGCGGCTTGTTGGGTTTGGGTTAGAGCATCAACACTCCTTGACTGATCACCTCCGAAATGTCTGCACCATTCTCAAAGCTGATGTTCAACACATCGACCATCACACCATGGAGAACCACTGGGCTGTACTTCAGGAGTTCTCTTCATGCGCCATCCGGCCCGACAGCTTTCTGGTTCTTCAAACGGGCCACCGCTTTGTCTGCTCTCCAGCGGTGAACAGGAATTGGAAATGACTCTTCACCCGTGCTACCTGGCTTTGCCGTTGCGGTATCACATGGCCATCATCCGTTTCAACTAGCAATGAGTGTTTCGCCTTCTGTCGGAACTCCTTCACTGCTCTGAACATCTGGACATTCTACGCTACGCTGATGACGTGACGCTGATGAGCACTAGCAAACAATGGTTACAACTGGCCCTGCCTATTATCGACATTGTATTCGCAGACTGGCATATAAAACTCAACACAGAAAAAACAGAATGGATCCACCTCACCCACGAAAATGATATCTGGAAGTCTTCCAAGCAACTGGGATTGCTGCTGGGGGATGTAGCGGATTGTGAGCGCCGGATACAGGTTGCGTCGACAGTATTTTGGTAGAATGTACTCACTGTGGATCAGACGGGAGAAAATCAGCGAGAATCGGAGAATCAAATTATACCGTGCATTTGTGAAGCCATGCCTAACCTATAACTGTACCACCTGGGGCATGACGAAGGCCTTGGCGAGTGAGATTGACAGATGCCACAGACGCCAGCTCAGGAGCCTCATTGGCATAAGGTTCCCGAACAGGACATCGGACATCGACCTGTACCAGCGCTGTCATCCACCATCGAGAAGGCTAGTCTGCGGATGCTGGGACATGCACTGCGACTGTTGCCGGACACCCCAGCGCAGCAAGCCATGAGTGGGTACTTCACTCCACAGCAACGTGGGTGAAAGGGCCGGCCAAGATCGTCGCTGGTCGGCACCCTGAACCAAGACCTGCTCAGCAGAGGCAAGCAGAGCCTCTCAAGCCGAGGCCATCTGGACGACCTAAGACAGTTTGCTGCGGATCGCAATGGATGGCTGCAGATAGTTAAGGAGTCGCCACAACTGTCGGATATTGACAAACATATGAGCCGCAATCAGCGAAAAGGACCCTTAGAGGTTTCGTAATTGTTTCGAGAAATAGGTCGATTTGTGACGTTCAACGATTTTTGATCGCGCTGCGAACAGCACGACGACTTCTTGAACCCCTTGCTTGAAGTATTATTCATTTTAATGTTAAAGTGGTGTCGAGTGGCGACTCCAATGATCCTTGATCTTGTTGCGATGGCTGCGGATGCCAGAGTTGTCCGAGGAGCGCACACGGCAGTCATTGTGTACATCTAACTCGAGCCTGGTGGAGAGTGGATGCTGAAGTAGCCGCTGAAGTTCAGAGTGAGGGTGAGAATTTCTTTGGTTCCGACATCGTTGTCGACGGCGAGGCGGAACCACAGCCGTCTTCTCCTGCTGTGATGCGGCTCAAGGTGGCCGATGACTCGTCAGAGTCGAAAGATGAGGAGTCGTCACCTGAGATAAATTCTGAGTCTGGAGCTAGTGATGGCAGCGACGTAGTGTCTTCAGCTGCGGAGGAAGAAATGGAAGACAAGATTGCGGAAGGACTCCACGCAGGATGCAGGTGCGAATATGTCGGTCATTTCTCCGCACTCATCAGCTATTCTTTGTCATCACAGCTGCTTACTGTACTATTTCAAAAAGTATTCAAGCTGCCCACCCACCTTCGAATGCTGAATATTCATTGTACACATACATCGTATACATACATTGCACCAATTTGGAGTACATCTTCTATATTAGTGTATACACCCGTTTTGAATCGGAATATTGAACTTTTTCTTCGCTGAGGTCCTTCAGCAGATGTGTTTCAACAATTTTAACCGAAAAGGAATTTCGAAAATGTTGACCCTAAGGGCTGTTTTCGCTGGTTTAGGCCCATATATTGGTCAGAGCTAGGGAACAGCAGCGGAAGCATATATAGCACGGCTGTGCATATCGTACTCGTATCTGTGTTATAAGAGAGGTTCAGTGACTCGTTTTTCATGAACGAAACGGGTCCTGACACCAGATTCGGGTTAGTCTCGTTGAAATCTCGTTCAGAAGAATTGTTTTTATGAATCCGGCCTGTCTGATTCGTAGGCAGCTCCGAGATCGATCTGCCCGGAAAGTGTGAAAACGTTTTGACTTTTTTGAATTTTTTTCATCTTTGTTGATTATCGATTCTTTCGTTTTCACTTTCGTTGTGTTTGGTAAGAATTTTTCCTTTCCTTTTTCCGCAATGTCAAGTGAAGTGCAGGCTCCCCAACGCCCCCTCCACCCCTGTGTCTCCCTCTGGAGCAACTCCTGCAGAATGCAGAAGAATTCGGAAATTTGCAGTCTTAGATGACATCAAGTTGCTGAACTTGATCTTGTCCTCTGGACATGAAAACATCTTTGCCTTACTGCAAGGGAATAGGGCTTGGCAGGACATTGGCAAGGTCCTGTCACGGTCGGAGCCAAAGCTGGGCGGCATCACCAGCCGGGCAGTGAAGGACCGAGCTGAAAAAGTCACTTGCGCGAAGAAATTCTGCAGAAAGATCTTTCAAATGTTCTCTCCGCCATATTTATCATGGCAATCAGGATGCGACTCGCTGTCTTCTCGTGCACGAGTCACTGAACCTATTTTGGGCACTGCACGAGCCGAATACAAAATGAATTCGATCTTGTTTCGCTTACGAGTTGACAACGAATCACTGAACCTCTCAATTATTGTTATTATTATTATTATTTTACCTTTGCAGTTGCACCTCCAAATATTGGAATACTCGCGTTACACAATATTGGTTTGTTAAATGTGAATCACAATTGTTAAATTTGAGCTCTCTGATTTGTTTTGTCTCTTAGAGGTGGAAAGGTTCAATCCAGCTTTCATTGATCGTACGCGCAAAATAGTTAGTTTTTCCCTCCCAGCCGTAAAGCCTGGCCACTCGATACAGTTGGTGGAGATTGAACAACAGGGTTCGGTGGATGTTTCAATGGGAAACAATTCCGAAAAGGCGAATGTCAACAGCAACTATTTAGTTCTAACCCCAGGCTATCATATCTACGGTTTCCAATATGTTCGTGTCAGCAGTGGTCAGAGATCACCTATCGGTGCCAAGTTCTCAGTGGGTACTCCCCCTGGTAAGTACCTACGGAGGACAAAGTGGACAGATGATGCTTTTGCAGCACCGCTCTACTTTCTATTACTGCATATAAATAATAACGGGAAGAAAATCTTACGTTTTAATGCGGGAGTTATTTTCGTAATGATAAGCTTTCTTGAGGCTGAAAGGCCATATTTGTGAAGTGTGCGGATTTCCATGAAGATTGCGAGATATTGTCGTACGTTCTCAATAACCTATGAATTTTGGGGTTTAAATTTGCGACTCGTTATAATAAAATGTCTTACAGTTATCAACTAGCATTTAGAACAATCATTCCTCTAGTAGTTTGAAGTGTTGTGTACTTGCCTAGTTGAGAACGTTGGCCACAGAGCAACGAGCTATCTTCTAAGATACCAAAATATCTGTGACGCAATCCTTTTGCCATTGCCAATAGTGCGGCTTACTACGCAAGCTCGTTACTTTGTTGAGTCCGAACAAGAGACTGACAACGGGAACAAGTAGGTTGGTGGAACGACATTAGAAACGGGACAAGAGATCAAGACGAACGAAACGACCACATGGTGATTATTGAAGAGGGAGTTTATTGAAGAGAGCTTACTGAAGAGAGAGTTGAAGAGAGAGCAACGCAGTACAAAAGGGCCTGGGTAGCTATGGCAAACATGGACGCCCAAGTAGCTACCCAGGCCAAATGAATAATGCAGGAACTAATGAATTATATGAAATGATATATTGTAATTACTTGTGGGCCTAACAACTGCATTGGCGAGGCATAGGTGTAGGATGTCAGGACTTGTTGCGGGGGGGGGGTTTGACAACTGGCAGTCATGGGAGTGTTTCACTTGATGTTGGTGGCAGGTTCTGGGGCGGGCGGGCTCAGGGGCAGCAGGTGGCAGCATGCCTGTCAGCTGGGCCGGACCAGAAATGTAGTGCAGCTTGAACAGGTAGCACAGTCTCGAGACTTGCAGACACACTGATAGGCTTGGGAGCATGGTCCCAGCGCCAGTGCTGCGTATGCACCGTTGCTGGATGCGGTCAAGCTTCGCTAGTTTGGACCAGGCTGTGCCTTGCCAGACTAGGGGAGCATATTCCATGGTTGGGCGAATGAAGCCTTTGTATACGCTGAGGCGGCCGTTGTGGTCGAGCACTGGGCACACCTTCCTGAAGAAGCCAAGGCGCTGGCTTGCTCTGACTGCAACCTGATGGAGATGGTTGCGGAACATCAGTTTATGGTCGAAGGTCACACCGAGAAGCTTAACATCTGTTTCCTCTCTGACCACGGAAACACCAAAGCTGAGAGAAGAGGGTGGGATGGGTGTTGATCGCCTGCTCATCGACATTCCTTGGCACTTTAACGGCTCAAACTGGACCTTCTATCTCAATCCCCAAGTTTGAACCTCATCGAGGGAGGCTTGCAGTGAGTTAAAAGTGGCGGGGACACGTGATCGGCACGGATCAAGCAGTACAGTATTGTGTCGTCTGCATACGTTGCTAGCTGGCATTCTTGGGAGACACAGTCAGAGATGTCATTGACATAAATAAGGAAGAGCGTTGGTCCTAAGATGCTGCCTTGCGGCACACCGTCTTGGATTAGGAAGTGGGAGGAGTTCTGACCACCCACAACATTATGGACAACTTATTTTTGATTCGTTGTGACACTGTAAACAGCTATTATTCTAACGAGCCGCAATTATAATGATTTCTTAAAAGTGACAGGTATATGTGTTCCAACGATAACGGTTACAAGAATATTTATTGGTGCTTCCTGCCAAAGTAGATTTATCCATTTCTGTAGAATATTTCCTCTTTCAGAGACAGATTTCTCCTGGTCACCTGATTAGATTTAGCACTTGGCTATATATATAGCGAGGAGAGATGATGACATAAGCAACGAAAACAGTTCCAAAACGGAGCCAGGGATTGTATGTGTGCATAATGGGTACGAAAGTTAATACGACTAGTGCAGCCGTGGACAGCGCAGCCGCACGGAAAATACGAAAGTGCCAAAGTAGCAGGCAAGAGTGTGAAAACACTACAAATCAGATCAGTCGATGAATTTATGTTTTCGCTGCCAGAGCTCTCAATTGTCTTTGCTTGCTTGTTTGCTAGCTTGTATTGCTGAGGGAACATATGCTGGTTTGTATATGTGGATCGCCATGGTGAATGGGCCACGCGTACTCGCCCGGCCGATATGTGTGAACAATAAAGAGAGAGAGAGAGAGAGAGAGAGAGAGAGAGAGAGAGAGAGAGAGAGAGAGAGAGAGAGAGAGAGAGAGAGAGAGAGAGAGAGCTTGGAAGCTCAGGGCCCTACGCCATGCTTTTTTGCCTAGCTCATCATGCATGTTATTAGAACAGATGGAACTTTCTCTTCGACCCCAACTCCGTTGCGGTCTTATAGTGTTTTAAGTCGACCATGACGGCTACAATGCCCAACCATGCCACAATGAACTGATCGGCTACATAATTGTACTGCAAAATGTTTCCATCTGTTCGAATAACATTCATGATGAGCTAGGCAAAAAAAGCATAGCGTATGGCCCTGAGCGAAAGAAATAAACTTTCTCTTTGCAGTCGAGGGTAATACGACACCGTCTACCACCTTGATGACCTAGGTAAAAAAGCATAGGGATGTCGTAAATTTTTTTTTCGAGACATAACCTGGTATTCGAACCGACACTATCGCGCTGCATGCATTCCCCCGATACACTTCGCATACATACTCATTCTTCCACGTTGCTTCACGTTATGATCTTGAAGTTGACAGTCCTATTTGAATAGTGTGGCCAGCTGTATTTGAGGGGGATAGTGCGGATTCGAATCCCAGGATATAATTATCTCGTCCCATAGCTATCCAAAAGACATTACTTCAGTAACGTCTCGCGTTGGTTAGGGTCCACACAGCTCTAATTCCGTGTTTCTTTGTTTTGTGCCGTCGGCGCTATTCCGTACCTGTCCCGTACCGTACCATCAAAGAGTGCTGCCAACAATATTCAAGTAGGGCTATGCAATATATGAGCCCCGGCCAGCGAAAACCAGCACTTGTGTACTTGATATCAATCATCAAAATGTGACGTCAAAGTTTGGGACGCGCAGTGAGCTGGCTTTTGAAGATTCTTTTCGATCGAGTGGGTGTCTTTGTTGTCAAAGGAGTTTCAAGTGTCTTCAAATGTCTCTGGTCAATTGATTTTAGCGCTAGGTGAGAGCTCGTCACACGGAGGTTGAGTTTAGACACAGCGATGGCGACAGGTATCGCGACAAAGACTTAGGTCCAGAGTTGTCAGCGTGAGACTCCCTGTACGAAGGGGCGCTGAAAGTTAGTTCGCGATCGGAATTATTTCTTTGTTGGCGATCTTGCTGAGTTTGTCCAGCAGTGGCGAGTGTCATATGCATAGCAACGAAGAGCCCTCATAAAATCGACACTGGATACTGGTGGCGACGATAGTCAGTGCTGAAGAAATAGCGACTGCGAGGAGAAGCTGAATGTCGACCCGCTGAGCGATCCGTATTTCTACATCGACAACAATGATGTTGCAGACACTGATGGAGGGCTTCTCACGGCGCAAAACAGAGCGTAGTATTCTCAGTACTCTACCTTGCCAGACGACACCAAGCTGGCTGCTGCCTGTGTTGAGAAAGGGGATCCCTAAAAACTCAAACCGGCTGAACGCTTTGGGGCAACATGTTCACGTGCTACAAAACACGAGCATTCGCTCATATCATTGAAATACAATTATGCTGAAATCATGGTCTGAGTGAAAGTGTGCAAGGGAGTGGATGTCAGTAGTATTGATCAGTACATCTATCAGTATGGCAAGCTTTGGGACAACGCCTAAACTGCCAGCGCAGAGGTCCCTGAACACAATTTGGAAGGCCAGCCACCAATCATCGTTTTGCACTCTGGTGTTGTAAAGAAGGTAGTGATGTATACGGAATATCGTCACTGTGACTTCTGAACTACTCATGCCTGCACAGGCTGCAGCACCAAGAGGGCAAGCCTGACTTGCATTCTATTTACTTACATGTACCTGTTCCACATCACAATCAGAAACTGTAGGATCAACTTGCATGGAGTCACTAGGCATGGATGCTGCGCCAACTGTACCGAATCTTGACCTCTCTGACTTCAAACTCTATTTTCCATGCTTTCGCTTATCAGATTGTCACCAAACTTGATAACTTGAATGATTAATAGTGTAGAAACAATTTCGAGGGAAAAAATAATTTTTGAAAAAATTACACATGTTCAGGTTTCTGCTGGCTGGGGCTCATATGCCTATAGCAGCGGACAGCGCTGGAGACGCACACTGTACGAACACCGGTAGCTCTGAGGCCCACGCTGCAGCTACAGGAAACCATAGGGAAGTGCATACTGCAGCAGCAACAGCAAACGAAAAGCACAGCACCGGCCTCTGTGGTAAGGACACAAAGGATGGGGACAGTCCCACGTTGTCCCACCCATGGGTGATGAAGATGACGCTTGGACTCTGGTATCGCATGACAAGCCTCGAAGACCACAAAAGAAAGTCATCTTTGTTGGCAACCTCAAGGCAGGCACAACTGAGGAGCAACTACCAACTTACTTGCACAGGAGAGTTGCTGCTGCTGCACTCCCTGATTTCCCGTTACACAGCGTGGCAATACTGGAGAAACGGCCACTCACTCACGGCCTCATGGTGTCAGGGCGGGTCATGATCAATGCAAAAGATGCTGGATAATTGCTTGCCAAGACCTTTTGCCAGCCCACGTGTACTCCAGGCCGTGGAAGTTCGATGCTGACAGAAACAGCAGTGGGTGAGCAGTGGGCGAGCCACATCTGGCGAAGATATTGGAGACAGCATTAATTGCACATCCACCACAAGAAGTGTGTCTGTGGCCTCTGAAAATGGCAGTGCTCAAAGCACAGCTGCCGAAGCCCGCTGACCAGGGAGAGCCCTTTTTAGGCACACAAAGCCACAATATGGTCAACAATAGCAGCAGCACCGGCGACCTACTCTTTGAGGAGACTAAGACCAACTCCTTCAGGAGACAGAGGCCACTGTGGACAAACTCCTTCAGGAGGCGCGGATGGAGACAGACAACTTGTCTGCTGCACCACCAGCGATAGAAGGTGCATCAACACAACTGGACAACAGCCAAAAGAGAAATAGCTTGCACCTCTCCCCTCCTGACGCTGAAGATGCGATAAGACCACCACCAATCTATTAGATCATGACTAGTTCACATTCCACTTTGAAAGTACTGTCCCTGAACATCTCCAGCTTCTGCCAGAAGCTGCAGGATTTAATGCAACTGGCCCCTACTAGTGTACCCAATGAAATAGATGTCTCAGAAACTTGGCTCGATGGTACCATTACAACAGCATAAATGTCTATACAGGTCAGACCTCGCTATAACGTAATCTCTGGGGGGGGGGGGATGGGAGAAATTATGTTATAGTGAGGTTTATGTTATAGTGAGTTGGGCACACCAATATGCAATATGTATGTCAAAATGACGCTCTTCACTTACTGATTACAACTGTACTGTTTTACATACAAGGATGATGATGACTAGCAAAGATGTGCACATGTGTTCAGGCTTGTCAGCAAAGGGGCGACAAGAGCCATGTAGTGCGTGTACTTGTACACGTGAGTCGTGATGTGACAAGATTAGAGCCTATAAAAAGAAATGGGAGTAGTAAAATACCGGTATTTTACTACTCCCTGCCTTCCGAGGTGGACGGCTCAGTCTCGAATTCGTCGCGAGAAGGCATGCATGCCGTGTACATAGTCATTTTTATACGAGTTTTTACGTTATGCTGAGGTCTCCGTGCGCCCGGGACCCAGCAAACAGTGCGTTATAGCGAACATTACGCTATAGCGGATTATGTTATAGCGAGAAAATTTTGTACAGAAGTGATGCAGTTTCGGCAGGGACATTCACATTTGTACGTTATAGTGAGGTTTATGTTGTAACGGGGGTCGTTATAGCGAGGTCTGACCTGTACCAGGTTACACCCTACATCGCCTAGACTGTTGCGGGAACTTGGGTGGTGGTGTGTGTATGTATGTTGGACTCAGTAGAGTGTCCAGCCCCTATATGATGTCCAACCCCTATATAGAGTCCATTGGTCCAAAATCCACTGTACAGAGTCCAAAATTGGAATCAACTGTGAGCTCAGTTTAGATGGACATCACTCCCTGTATAGAGTCCAGCCAAATGGCTTCACCCCTATATAGAGTCCATTGGTCCAAAATCAACTGTACGGAGTCCACATTTTGAAATCAACTATAAAGATTAAAGACTCGGTCTTTATGTGGACAACACTCCCTGTACAAAGCCCAGCCAATTAGGCATCCCCTAGGGTGTATCGGGTGTTAGCGGCCGTCGTGAGTTCCCTTCGGGATCGGATACGATAATTTACTTTTTTTTTTATCGAGTTCGAAATTAGACATAGGACCTGCTGTGAGCAGTGAATATAAACCAGAAAACGGCCTCTAACTTTAATCCTTTACATCATTCACTTCTCAAGATAAAAAAAATATGTATTGAGGTGCCACTGCAACCACTTCACTACATGAAAAACCCTACAAACACCATCCTCAAATCAAGTGGTCTCTTCGCAGAGGCTGCAAATTACAATATCTCAATCATGCGGTGTTGCCAAATTATTGTGCACGCACACACACATGCACACGCCCACACAACGCCAAGAAAATACCTAGAAAAAAACAAGAATCGAAAGAGAATAATGGAGAGCCCAGGATTAATTATTTGTTTTCAAACTATTGCGCGCGCGCGCACGCACACACACACAAACTTATAGAACGCCAAGAAAACACCAAGAAAAGAGTAGAGACACAATACACACGCAACTACAACAGCCATGCAAACGTCCACCCATTTACACGTAAAGTCAAGAGGGATAACAAATAATTATACGAAACGAATGCATACGGGGACGGGTACACGCACGTTTACACACGTAGTAGTGTAAGAGAGTAACATAGTGCAGTGGTCAGCAAAATACTAGCACATGCTGAGAGTGCAATAGCAAGCTTCACCATTGCTCATGGCCATGAAAATGTTCAGCAGCACTCAGTTCCGCAAGCTTCTGAAGATCAGCACACCTGCAACAAATAGATAGCACGAGGATATGCTTATTAACATAATGATGCATGGGAGCACACAACTACCAAGTTCTCAACGAATGTGATGCTCAATGAAAATCAATCCACTCAAAGACCTGTGAACAGGTGACGGTGGGGACAATAATCTATTAGTGAAACGAGGAATAAGATCGTTTGTGCACACTCAAGACGCACAGACACACCAACATACATGTAGTGTACACAGTGTTTCACTGCAACTAAATTGAAATGAGATGATTTGAACAATATGTACAGCGTAGCTGTCAGTCAGTCTTCCCCAAGATGGAAATGCAATTATTTGTTGTCACGAGGCAGTTTCACTGACACAATGTCATGTTCGTGACATCAAAACGGTTACTTCAGGGAATACGAGTATTAGCTTGAGAAGCTTTTTCTTGTCATTGGCATACAAGCAATCCTTCTACTACTACTAGTACACTGGCACTGCGTTTGTGGATCCCATTGTATTTGACATCATACTATAATTTGTAGAGGAAGAGTGTCGTGGAGTTTCACATAATTTTCACAGGGATAAAAATACATTTCTCATGAAATAATTATAATAATTGATGATAGCTAGACGATCGTATACGATTGATGCAAAGTCCTTGCAGTCCTTGAGGACTATTACGAAGTGGTTGATTACTTTTAGGGCATTCATTCAAGCAACATCAAAAAAACACGATACTCTCCTTGAAAATGGAAACAAATTCAAGCATAACGACAGAACAGCAGACCAATCGAAACGAGTAAAAGCTTCCTTACCTCAGTCATCGTCCTGTCATGTAGTTGGACAGCCTTTTGACACGGTGGTACAGGCAGCTCTTGTCCAGTCAAACAGGGGTATCCTTGTGGCGTCGAGCGAAAGAGAGTGTCAGTGTATCTGACTCGTCAGATTGGAACTGTGCTGAACCTTTCTCTTTCTCCGCTTTCTGCTTTCATCCCTCGCTCTGATGAAACCGTTCAAACGTCTTACTGGCAGCAATGGCCAGCCAAACAGGGGATCCTTGTGGCGTCGAACGAAAGAGAGTGTCAGTGTACCTGACTCATCAGATTTGAACTGTGCTGAACTTTTCTCGTTCTGCAATTTCTGCTTTCATCCCGCGCACTGATGAAACGTCTTCAGAGAACCACAAGACGCTTTCCGGATTTGATTTTGAACGTCTCCTTATCCTCCTTGGTTACCTCGAGACAGATTACTGTCAGCAACTGCACAGCAGAACTGGCAGCCATGGCTAAAGTGAAGAAAGGAATGCGCTGCCAAGAGGCAAGCAAAACTGAAAATGTGTTTGTTCTCTTTCGGGCACAACACACATAACAGGACGGCGTGACTGGATAAACTGGACTTCTGGACTGTGAATAGGGGACTTGTAGAAAAAGTGTACTCCTTATAGGGGATTGCGCGGCAGGATGAAGCTGATCAAAACTGAGTGGACTCCTGGACTCTGTATAGTGGATTTTGGACCAATGGACTCTATATAGGGTGCTGGACATCATATAGTCCATGAACTCTATACTGAGTCCTACATATACACTGATGTCGGACTGAAAAGCCACACGTACCTTGCCAGAGTGCTCAAACTGACAAGTCAGTGAGGTCTGCATAACGCAAACAGCAAAGGCACTTCCCCATATGAGAGTGCTTATCGATTGAAATTATAGCCCTAGATGATACCAATATGGCGTATTGATGCAGCCGATAATTTAATGTTCTTGTCAACTGTCCATGTTCGTTGTTGTTGTTTTCAGACATGTAGTTCAATAAGCAGCTATGCAATGGACATTGTTCAGTTGCGGTCTGCTTTCTCGTCCTCTAGCTGTGATCGAGGCCATTGCGGTCGTACTGCCTGTTCTCCGTGTTGACCTTAGCTCTTGGTAATATCACTATCCATGTATGCGCTCAGCTTGGTTGCACCTCGATGCCTCCTGTAATAATGTATATGGTCGGCGAGCTCCGATTTAGGTTCTGCTCGAGTCAGTTTCGCTGAGCCAGCTTGGCACCGTGTAGCTTTTTTGGTTGTGTTCTTGTGCGTGCGGCATAAGGTTTTTGCGGTACCTTTTGTTTGGCCGTGTTGTAATGCATTGAGAAAGTTTTCTTTAGTAGTACTTGGAACAAAAAGAGTCGGTGCTACTCAGTCTTGAAGAATAACAACAGTCTTGTGAACAAGGGCACAGTCTTCTGCACCAGTGTGTGTGCGCGACAGAACAGACATTTTGTCATTCATGGCCCTGATGATGGGCCAGGGCCGAAAATTTGGTGTAATGTAAATCTTAATTTTAATCGCACTGAAGAGAACGTTTTGGAGTTGAGAAGTGAAGTTTCCTTCATGTTTCTTCTTGCTCTTTTATTTGCCTCAGAGGGGAAGTGTGGTGTCATCCCAACTATCAGTCATGGGGAATATCAAGTAGTCGATGCAGGTGTTGGAAACGTAGCTACGTATCACTGCAGCCCAGGCTATCACATGATGGGATCTGGTCTGGCGATCTGCCAAGAAAATGGACAATGGTCTGAAGCCCCTTCATGTGAGTGTAATAAGGAATATTTCTGATAGAAGAAGGGGGAGGGGTCCAACTGTCAACCACTCTATTCATTTGCTATTCACGATCTTGGCATAACTCTATTGTTGATGTAACATTAAGAATAATCTGCCCGCCTGTGTGAATTCACTACCAATGAATGTTCTACAGCTTTGTGTTCCGCTTCTGTCCAATCTGATGGGAATTCCAGTCCTGATCTAAATACAGTCCGACAATGGCCTGTGAAACCAGATCACGGACGGTCAGCCATGGAGACGTCTCCACCCCCAGTGTAAATAGTCAAAATAGTTCAAGTAGTGAAGTGAGCCCTACACGTTTGTTGGCTTCTTGACTCTACAGAGAAGAGCTAGGCAATGATTATGGCTTAGTAGTAGCACTCCAAAGACAGAACATTAGCAATCGAAAATGTCGACCGTGCACCTTCTTTGTTCCATGTGGCCTACTCTCTGCAAGAAAAAAAGGTCTGCATACATGTCCCTGCATTCAAACCCAAATAGCTAAACCCGTTGTTAGACTGAAAGTTGTGCATGTAGTCATAGGAGAGGTAGGTAGTTAGTTCAGAGTGTAACTAGTCATGGTGTTTGTAGGACTTTGACTGCGTACTGGGGATCTGACTGCCTATAGATGAGTCAGTGCACACGATTCGACTGTTTACAGGTTTTAGATTGCATAGTGGCCTCCCGACTGTCTATAGTGAGACGCCTGCAAGCTGTGTCCAACATAAAAACTTCTTTTCCTCACGTTTTCCCTTTTTTATTCTCTAAACTTGTGAATATTTGTCATTATTTGATACTTTGGAGCTCCAAGGGAACTAGTTTGTGCGTGAAATGTGTAGATAGGGTGATGGTGACAGTCAATCGTTTGATTTTTCTTTTGACATTTACCTCTGCCACTCCCTAAATCAGTCAATATTTGATACTAATCTGTCATCTTTGAAATGCACAGGTGGTGCCTTTTGCCAACCATCGCATACCCCTAATGGTCGTATTGAACAGCTATTACCTCCCCCTTCTGGTCCTCCTGTCAGTGCTTTTCCTCTTGCCGAAGTTGAACCAGAGTGTGATGAAGGTTATAAAAGTATGGGAAAGGCAACTTGCTCGGGAGATGGGGGAGAATGGGAGTATGAAACACCATTGTGTGATACCCCGACAAATGCCCGTAAGTACATTCATAATCTCCTATTAGTATTACATCAATCTTCGGACAGTTAGCTGCTTGTAGCTATTAAGTCTCATCAGAGGACTAAGGACTTTCCTTTATGATCTCAGTCAAGGCTAGTAAGCAGATGAGCTGTAAGGTGAAAAGTCAGGTTGCTCTGACTGCCACAGATATCGTAATCATTTTATGATGGAAGACAGCGTTGCAATACACAATCTGGGCATGAGGTGGGCATTAGTCGGGTTTTGCATCACCTAGAATTACTAGTAAAATAGCTGTGCTTGACTTACTCTTGTATCACATACCGGTATCACGATTTTAAAGTTAATTTCAACTTCTTTAGATGTGTCTTTCCCCGGCTACATGTACATGTAATAATCTAGATGTAAACACTTGTTATTATTATTATTATTTGAGGGATTCCCCAAAGGCCGAAGCCTAAATCAAGGGGGTCTCCGAGAATAAATATACGTGTACAATACGTGTACAATAGGTTGCAATTTTTAAAAAGAAGAAAATATTAAGACAAAAAGATTTATGTGAAGAGGTTAATTTGGAAGTCTAAGTAGAAGCAAGCGAAAAGGGTACTGGTCAAGAAGGGGGGTAATCAGGAAGTCAGAAAACGTCGAGGATGGAATCTTTACCTGTGGAAATGGGACTTAACGTGCCGGCAAAATACACCACTGGTTTCAGATATCCTAATCTCGGTAGGCGGGGAGTTCCACGTGGTGATCATGGAATGTAGTAGAGTGGAGCGGAAACAGGGACCAGTGTGATTGGGCAGGAGGTAAAAGTCAGGACGTCGTGCACTCTTGGATAGAACTATGTTAAAAATTTTCAGGATTTCCGGGTATTGGCGGGTGAAAGGGTAAAACAGTTTGAGGCAATGTATATGCCGCCGCCACGCAAGACTTTCCCATTCAGCAGCTTACATTCAAAAACATGAAAAAGAGTGATAAATTAATGAAGTTGATATGTGTGCATTGCCTGAGGATTGTGACTATGTGAAACTAGGAGTTGCAACACAGCTTCCCCTACCTCTCTTGATTGTGTGCATATGAGAAGTGCAAGTGCAAGGTTTTTACCACCCCACACACATTTTTGCACTTGCCCTTGTTATTATCATCATAATTTGGCCCAACTTCTGCGAAAACTTAGGGTGAAAATCATTTTTTTGAGAAAAATGATGTTTTGTAAAAAGGTTGTGTCGCGTGGACGCTCGAGTGCAGTGAAGTGGAACCAAAGAGAATCTCGCTTGTTTGAAGAAGTAGCAGTCATGGCAGGAAGGGTTTCAGCAGTCAGGGAAGTCAAAGGGCTTCCGGTAGAATATTCCCTGCTACTCCTCTAGTCACAACGAAGAGTTTTTGACCCGATCGATTCCATCTCCTTCAGTGAGGCTTCACTCAGGGATGGCGAAATGTTTGCGCTAACTGCTGCTTGTGGAAAATGGTGAAGAAATCGTCTCCAGTTAGAGTCGTGATGGCGATAGCGAGGAGAACCTGGACGACATCGATCCAGCCGACCGAAGTACGGAGGTACTAGCTGTTTCTGGGCTTCACGCGAAGGGAACACGCGCAGCAGAGCTCGTACGTTTGCAGCAAGTTCACGAGGAAAAAGGGTTAGAAGCGCAGTGTGAAAACTGTTTTGAATTGAAGTCCTTGGCTGGATGAAGTGCTACTGAATGCCAAGCGAATGAGCGAGCAGATCGAGAGGCCTCCACTCGAGACTTTCCTCGCTCGCGCTGGACAGCTAGCTGCAAGGGATTGTACGCAGCGTGCCGAGATTTCACTTGCTGGTCAGCACCAAGCAGACACTGCAGCATGCCAGCACCTTATGCGCATACTAGGGACAGTGGAACGTTTGAAGGGCCGTGTTCTTGCTTGTTTTTGAATAGTTGTACTAGATTCATCCTTCAAAAGGTGCCATCTCAACTGGAGTCGGGTTTCATTGTGGTGTGTAGCGCCAGAACATGCCAGTAGATGTATGCAGCCCCAGAATGTGCTGAGTAAGGAGCAAACAAAATTCCTGCAGAACTGTGCATGGCCACTACAGCCTGCAGCACCAAGGGGCCACAACAAGCCTGCCCCCACATGCCTACCTTGTCACGTCACCTCAACAAAAATCATCCATGTCTCTTACTCTGGTGGATCTCTCTTCATTTCTTTCCTGTGAAAACAATTTTGTTGTTTTTTTTCGATTTTGTAACACAATACCCTGGTGTGTTTGAGATACTTTTTAATACCACTATGAGTCGACCCACACCTGTAATATTTTGTCTCCTGACCTCCCATGCCCAGTAGAAGCTGAAAATGGGAAAAAGTCATTTTGTGAAATTTCACCCTAAGCCTGGTTTTCGCAGATTCTGGGCCATTTGAGCACTTTAACTCTCCATACTATTTTTGGGCGTTTAGTCCCTTCAGTCGGGGAATGGAGGTCGGTACAAGTGGAGAGAATACTCTAAAGGGGAGGAGTTAGTAAGTTCTAAGGAAGCTTTTCTATTCTACCATATTTTCCCTTCTCAATGCTTCAGGAGTGATATGGAGAAAGCTCCGGGAAGCAAGGAGGCAGGCAGCAATGAACCGGGCAGGAAGTGGAAATGGAGGATCTGACGAGGGCGACAGGAAGGAATTGTTTGAGGAGGGTCCTGCCAGTGAATCATCCCAATCTGTGGAGAGCCTCGCCGGCAAAACATACCAATCGTCTAGGAATGTGACCGGAGAATCAACAGTTATGCAAGTCTAACTTCAGAAGAGGGTAAGAGATTCACTGCCAGAGTTCAGGACCTTGAAGGGTGTACCGGTGTAATATATTATGAGATCAACTTTATTGCTGGCAATTGGGAAGTCAGGCATACAGTTGGACCATGTTCTGCTACAAGAGAACATAAAATTTCATTTTTTTCACACCATTCAAATAGCAGTTACACTGTGATGTTCAGCCTTTTCTCTTCATTGTGATCCTAATATTGTAGTTTCCCCATGGCTGGTTCAAATTTGAATAGGATGTACAATATTCTCGCCTATTAAATCCCTAGTATAAAAATTGAAAAGGCAGTTTCAATGTTTGTGTGACTATAAGAGATGATAAATTGGCTAAAGTGGAGCCCCAGGATGGGGGAGAATGTATAGACAGACAACTAAATAGTCTTCAAGAACACAGCGGCAGAAGAAGGATCCATATGTACAAGCATGTTTACGTACAGAACTCTACATGTATTTTAGCAATAAATTAAGTGCACGACAACACCAACATAACACAACTTCAGGTTTAGAAGCTGTGAACAGCTTGGTTATTTGCTGTTTCGAAGTACAATTCTGTGAAACAGTACACTACACTGAGCTATTTGGCCACATTCATATTCCCCATTCACTATGGCATTGTGAGTGTTGATTGGGGGAGTGTTCCAAACGATTCACGTTTTGTCCATTGCTTATACATGTGCATTTGTTTGTTTGTTTGTATACTTTATTTGAATTCGCAAATCTTAACGAGCACAAATGCTCAATGACAAGGCAGCGAATATGTTATTATGTTACAGGGAAGGAGGGTTGGGGAGAAAATAAGGAGAAAAAAGAGAGAATGGTAGATATCTCAATGAAGAGCGAAGCGCTATCAAACTACAGGTCTGCTCTCGACATAACAACTCTCACTTGTACATGAACCTCGCTAGTACATAAAAAAGTCAAATCCCGCGCCGAAACAGCATCACTCCCATACAAATTTCGTTCTACAGAACATAATCCTACCTAACATAAACCTCGACAAAACACACACTACGATGCGGTCCCCGACGTGCGCACTCTCGATACAACATAAATTCACGTGCACGGTACGATCAAGCGGTAGCTGTAGCTAGCCAGTTTAGGCCAGTTTAGTCCTACATAACGTAAACCTCGGCATAGCGCACGTTACGGCGTGGTCCCTGATGTGCACACTCTAGATACAATGTAGATTCACGTGCGCGGTACAATCAAGCTGTAGCCGTAGCTAGCCAGTGTAGTCCTATTGTGAATATATTCTGCGGCATTGATGTTATCTGATGTCGATGGTGGTACAGTGTGTATATGTTTGCACGGGGGTACGGTTGAATCCTCCTTGTAATACCCTTCATTTTGAGGTACATCTTGTATTTTATACATGGTTTTCTACATAATATAACTCTCGATATAGCATAACTTTTGCATGGTCCCAGAGATTACGTTATCTGGAGAGTAGACCTGTACAAGTAAGCCAGCAAACGACAGTTCTGTAACCCGCCTAATATACTAAGTACCTTTTTCAGGCGTGCAATGGACTGTCATTAAAACAAAAACAGAAATATAATAATTTGACTTTACCTTTCGAGTGTAGGTGAGATATCTGCAAACAAAGTATATCCTTTCCGTCAAAACAATGCATACGTCATGGATTGGGATTCCCCGCGTGCTATTTTGTACGTGAAGTGTGTGGCTTACAGCGAGGGCTGCGTCCCACCAGGTGGCGTACCCAGGGGGGGGGGGGGGGTGTCTGCCTGGATGATAGCTAAAACAAAGCATCGCTGGCCTGAAACAAAGATCCTAGATTCGATTCCTGGGGTGTTAGTCAATTTTTCTTCCGAATTTTTCTGTATACATCTGTTAACATCTGTTTCTGTTTAGGGTTGGGTCACATATCGCCAGTATACGCCGGGAGTCACCGGCGGTGGGGCTCTTGCAACCTCTCCCAGCGCATTGCGATTTTGTGAACAAGTGCAGTTGTAACAAAATCATACTGTAAATAATCGCAAGAGACCGCCAGCAAAGTCAAAGTTGGGCAGTGCCCGACTCTTGCGATCTGCCCCGGCACCGATCTTTTACAATTTTGACCAAAAGTGTTTTATCCCAAAGTAAGATAGAAATATTTACGACACCTCTCCAGACGTTTCGTTGTTCTGATCATCATCGTCATTGGAGGAAGAAGTTGTTTGTGAACTGTTCGCTCTGTGATCGCCTGTGTCGGGAGCCAGACTTTGTCAAACTTTCAAAACAATACTCCTAAATAGAAGCTAGAGAGGAGGTCCGTTCGCCAGTCCTGTAGTCGCTTCAAGGTGGCAAATCAGTCAGCATACCAACCCGTCCTTCTCGGATGATCTGCTTGACTGTTGTGCCACTTGTATTTTTCTATCTATTTTAATTATATTTGTCTCATAAGTGGCAATACATTGGCAAGTCCTTGTGACTTCATCAACGTTTTCAAGCAAAATTGCGACAACATCGCTTACTTGACTGCAATACAATGCGTAGAAGTAGTTTCATGATCTCCAGTAAAAGGTAGCACCGAGTGGTTATCAGCGAGAGACCTTGAACTACTGAAAAAACAACTAATTGAAGCTTCAATTGGCAAACCTGTCATAGCAATTGGCTACATTCTGTACTAAATGTACTTTCTAGTAGATTTGGTTCTCGAACCTTATGCGCCATGGATCGGGACCTGGCTCACCGCCGATGTATTGCGATGAGTTGTGGCGCCGATTTTGATTATGTAAACCAACCCTTACATCTTTCCCGCAAACGAATGAATATGTTACAAATTTCAGGGCTCACAGCAACCATGCCAAAACCTCGATTACGTGGGAGGACATCTTGGATCTGATCACCATAGAAACGAACTCGCGTGACCGCTAAGCGCAGGCGTAGAACGCAGTCGCGCAAGGAGATTATGACTTGCTTGGGCTTAGTTGCTGTGACAAGGACAGAGTCGTGAATGGTGAAGGAGATGGCCGGAGACTGTCTCACTATCTCTATTTCATTTCGGTAGTTCTTGTTTCCTTCCAAGTGGATTATTTCGCGAGCAGTGTTGGCCTTATCGGCCGAAGGCTTCATTCAGACTGTCCGCACACGGAGTCCTGGGAAATGTAGCCCCGAACAGAATCCTGCAGTCGTTGACGAAAGAGTTCAACAGCAGCTACGCCGCTGATGCACAGGCGCGGGTGACGGGAGAGGGAAAGGACTAGCATTCCTTGACGGCATGGAGTAATGACTCACGTCGTGTTCTAGTTTTAGTTTCTCCGCCGTGAAGTCCTGTTGTGTAAACGTAAATATACGGCTGGTCTGCGAAGAGCCGTGTAGCAAAGTGGTGACGATGTGGAGTTGTGAATTATTTGATTCGCCACTCCGTTTCGTTGCAAGAGAACAAGTCCAATGGCTTCGCCGTTGTGCTGGCCACGTATTTCTTTGGTCTGCCATAACCATGATAACTCCTGGAGGACACAGCGATGAAGCGCCAGGCGAGTAGCAAAACCATTTCAAAAAATTGCTTTGCTGCTAGGGCTGTTTCCGCATTCACAACAAGTGCAGCGGATGCGGTTCTTCCTCGCGGCTGCACTGCAGATAGGGTTGCCTTTGAAATGTTCGTTTGTACCCGTCTCTGGCCCGATTTTGATGGCCAATAGCTTAAATTTTCAGTAGGAAAATTAGAAAAACTTCTCCGAGAGACTTTTCGATTTTAGTACAATAATCCAAATCAGAATTACGCCTGCACCAACTGATATTTTGGCTCCATATGTGCGCCAAACCGTATCGATTAAAACAAAAAACTTTCGGACAAATCCTTACAATGGGTATTGAGAGTACGTTCCTAGAGTTTCAGAGGCCTAGGCAAAAGCATTGGTACAAATGAACATTTTGAATGCAAACCACTCTCAAGTTTTCACTGAGATATCTGCCTGATCGCATGTATACGATTCTGGCATGCTGGCTGGCTCGTGTGACAGTGGCCTGTCCAAAATGGCGCCCACGCTTTTGTGTGATGCTGTGAGCCCTGAATTTCATTGGTTTTACTCGATTGTGACATTTCCAAATGCAGGGACATTTCTTCAGTTTCTATTGGGTTTTACATTGAATCTAGTCCTGTCCTGTAAATTTCTGTTTTACTTCAGATGAATCTCCGCTTTGCTAATCCAATGGAATTTGTATGAATTGTCCACCTACCGTGTGCATGCACACATGAATGGTAACAGAATACTGCTTGGAGTCTGCATGGAGTGCACCTGTCAAAGGAGTGATAGTGTCTTGCCACAATATCAGCAACTGTCACACAACTCATCATTTCCCCACACCTACGTTTCCAATTGTTGTCACTTCCCCAATGTTGTTGAAATCAAGTTTTTATTCTCTTTCCACTTTCCTTACCTTTTCAAAGTATCTTTTCATTGACCGGTGTGCGTCTGTCTACAACTCGTCTGTGATCAAATCGCTGACGCAAAGGTGAAGAAACACAACTTCTCTAGTGCTGAAGATGTGGGTTTGAATACTAAGAAGATGCAAAAGTCTAAAATGTTATCAATACATTTTGGCTTTTCTGTAATCCCTTAGTCCCTCTAATCTGAGTTGTTATGCCCCTCCCCCCCCCCGTCCGTAATGAGTACATGTAAAAGGAATGGATTGGATAAATTCTAAAAAATATGCACTTTTTGCTCACTTTCTGCATTGAATTGACATTGATTGAAAAAGTTGGCAGTATACTGTTTGTGATGTGAACGTTTACAATCAAATCCAAGTGCGCACGATGGTGTGGGTGCGTGTGTTGGTATGGTTGTTTGCGACGTCGCGGAGTGCAAACTAGTGTTCTTATAATAATTATTATTTACTATTATTGCATCATCATCTCGTGGCAAGCAATGCCAACAATGAATGTTAGAGGCGTGATAGCCAACCACGGCCAAATGCTGGCCCTGAGTCCCGTGGTAGGGATCAAGACTGGCTGCTGGAGCTGGATCTGGTGGTTTGCTCGCAATGGCTTTTGTTCTTGTTGTGTACTTGATGGAATGAGCTCACAATTCAAACAGGCCTAAGCCTAATGACAGTGAACTCGGTAGGTAATGCGTTCATGCCACGTCATCAGAACATTCACGCTACCGTTCCCTTCGTTTTGTTTGTCTTGTCATCTCTACTGTTGCTCTCCTTGATACTTTAGTAGAGCCGTTTTGTAACTTACAGAAGGGTAGAGTTTGGTATGTTTTACCATGATGTCTGCTACGTATGACCAAAAGCAAGTCATTTCTTGTAAGCTGAGGATTTTACGAAATTAACAAGTCTTGGAGGAAAAGCGGAGAAGGACAAACATTAAATTATGTCTATTAGAAGAGGTAACTAAAACATAATGAATAAATCAAGATATACAAATAATCTACGTGGAGATAAAAGTTTAATAATAGCAATGAAAAGTATGAATGCCGCAGACATCACCACGCAACATGACAATTTGTTCAAGGTTTGGTTTTGTGTGTTTCCAAAATCGATTTTCACGTTCCGATCATCAGTGGAAATACGGAACTAAAGAGATCAAGGGAAAAACAAAGGTTAAAAATCCAAAAGACGGTGAGACGGCTGGTGGTGATGGTGATAAAACAGACGAGGAGGAGTCAGGTGGCAGGGAAGGTGATGGAGCTGATGAGGGTGAAATTCGTAAGAAGTCAGCTGTGTATTTGCATTTGTTATCTCGTCCCGATTGTTTGAGTGTGCATGATGATTCCCACTTCTCTGTACTGTGTCGTGCCCGTTATGTCCAGCAGTTGAAGGTCCTTGAAGCTGTTTGTATTCGTACGCATAAGCCCGATTTGTGTAAGCAAAAAGAACATGTTTTAGCACTTAGGTTATTTTCGTGAGTTTGCACCCCGTGTTCATGAGTTGTTTCTGCACTGTTCATGCCCGTTTGTCACACTTACTCTTTATTTTAGTTCTCACCTTTTGTAAAACTTACCACAAGTTACCCGTCATGTGTCACACTTCTTTGGATTTTTAACCTTTGTTTTTCCCTTGATCTCTTTAGTTCCGTATTTCCACTGATGATCGGAACGTGAAAATCGATTTCGGAAACACACAAAACCAAACCTTGAACAAATTGTCATGTTGCGTGGTGATGTCTGCGGCATTCATACTTTTCATTGCTATTAATAAATCAAGAAGGAGCAATATTCCTAACACGTTCGACGGTTGTGAAGAAATCTATTGACTGCAGATTAACTCAATCTGCTCCTGCTTCTCTCACCCTCTCCCATACTCGTGAAATTCAAAGTGATGTAAACGAGAGAGCTTGGAAGCCCACAGGGCCCTACGCTATGCTTTTTTAGATACTTTCTCTTTGCATTCGATGGTAATAGTAATACGACACCGTCTACCAACTTGATGACCTCGGCAAAAAAAGCATAAGGATGTTAAAAATGTTTCATTTCTCCTATTTTTTTACATAACCTTCGAACCCGCACTATCGCCCTGCATGCATTATAATGCGGGGTCCCATTTCGAAAATCGTATTTTAGAAGTTTCGTGGCAAGTAGGAGCTCACCAGTTTTTTTATAGCTGTTTCTGACTAACTTGTGGTTGCTGAAGATGATAAAAGTATCGGCAAGTCTGCACAGTTGTCCGTTTGTTAGATATAGAGATCTTCCGCTGCATACGGAAATTGTACATGTACTCGAACCCAGTCATTCTAGGGTATAGTGGGTTTCTGCATACAGAGTCCGTCAAGAAGCATTTTGACCTTTGACGAAAAGCTTGCTCTAGAGTGTTTTGGAGCCCAATCAGGCGGGCAGACCCGAAGCGGAACAGGCATGACGTTAGCAAGGGGGTGGTGCGCCAGGATTATATACCTGACGCGCAGAAGAGGCGCTTGGCAGAGAAATTTACTCAGTGCGCCACATACGAGGCAGAGTTTAGTCTGCTCGATGCTGCTAGTACACGCAGCCACGCTAGAATATTGACCGAACTTGAAAATCAGGATGGTATAGCGAATGAGTATTACCGTAGCTGTTTTTCACTGTACGTAAACAAGAAGTCTCTGAAACGTCTTGCTAATGATGGAGTGGATTCTGATCTGGCCCAGAATGGTGATGTGAAGGCGCAGGCATTCATGAAATTGTGTAAGTGGATTGAAATTAGTGTCCTGACTCAGAGTAACTCCGCAACAGATATGACTGAAGTATGTAAACGTTACAGTCGATTCCTGGACGAACTAGGATTTTGTATTTGTATTTGCATTTTAATGGATTCTCCACAGCTTATGAAGAAGAAGCGAATTGATTGGTCATGTTCAGAGGTCCTTCGCGGTGAAGCAACGTCTCATGGAACACTTTGGCGACCGGTTGCAGTTCCATCAGCGGCTTGAGACAGACATGTAAATAGTGTGGTTGTCTTTTCACTTGTATATAATTATGTAGGCTCAGAGTTTCCTGTCTGATGATCGCCACAGGCGTGAAACTCGGAGTCACAGCCAACCCAAGCTCCGTATCCCATTCTTTTCCTTTTGTAGGCTCAGAGTCATTGCTACTGCGTTTGAGTACATAACACAGCAAATGTACTTTTCATTTTTTGTAGCACCAACACGAAATTTGTATCAGGGACTGAGCACCACATTAAACAACTCGAAGTTTTTGACAGCCATGCCACAGACTCGCATGAAAATCAATTTGATTGTGCAGTTGCTCGCGCTGACCTTGCAAGTCCACTTAAATTTTACATTTTCTTTTTTTTTGAATGTACTCAGCTGATGATGTTTTATTTCCACCATGTACCAGGAAGTCGTACCCTCCCTGACTGCCACCAACTGGAGTCTGAAACAGACTCTGTATGCAGAAACCCACTATACTGTAGAATGACTGGGTTCGAGTACATGTACAACTTCCCTATGGAGCGGAAAATCGCCATATCTAACAAATGGACAACTGTACAGACTTGCCAATACTTTAATCGTCTTCAGCAGCCAACAGGGAGGTTTAGTTCCCACGTAACAGAAACGCGTACGTGGGTGATCCACGTAAAGAGGATGAAGGGCACCCACGTTGCAATGTTGTGTTTAGACGAAGTTTCCGTTACGTGGGAACTAAACCTCACTATTCACTAGTCATTCTAAAGTACAGTGGCTGCATGCGTTCGATTATGCACTTGAATCGATTCATCAATCCATTCGCATGCATTCTCACAATTTTTAGAGCTGTTTCTGACTACGTTGTGGCTGCTGAAGACGATAAAAGTATCGGCAAGTCTGTACAGTTGTTCGTTTGTTAGATATAGCGATCTTCCGCTGCATACGGAAATTGTACATGTACTCGAACCCAGTCATTCTAGAGTATAGTGGGTTTCTGCATACAAAGTCCGTTTTAGACTCAAGTAGGTGGCAGTCAGTGAGGGTACGAATCCCGGGTACATGGTGGCAATAAAACATCATTCAGCTGAATACATTGAAAAAAAAAGGAAAATTATATAATTTAGGTGGACTTGCAAGGTCAGCACGAGCAACTGTACAAATACATGTGTTGTGAAACCACAAGTTCTCGAGAGTGAAAGGCCTTCTCGCTTGTGACATTAGAGAGACCCGCACACAGAGAAGTCACTGCATGTACACCGGCACACAACTACCACAACCATGACAAGTTCTGAGTCAGCACAACAAAACACAAGTGGTTTGGATATCCCAGAAGAACATGTGCGTGAGAAGTCTATGCCATCATATAAAGCCACAGCGGACCTCGCAAGAGAGAGATTTATAGACCAGAATATTGTGCAGAAGTGTAAATTATGTGGATTTGCTGCGGACGGTGCAGTGGAAGCAGTTTGCTGCAATGAACTCCACTGCTGCAAATGAAATTGTCAGTGGCTGAATGAGCACAAAACATGTCCAACATGCCAAGCTGCCATGCTTGAATCAACATTGCTGCATCCACATCCAGTTGTCAGCAGAATAGTCAGCCTCAGCACTATCCACTGCGACAATTATGAAGACGGATTGCGTGGATGCCCTGTAACTGTGCCCGTGAAGTCGTTGCGTCAACATGTGCAAGAATGTGCGCACCGTCCGGACAGTTCCCGCACTGGCATGACCATGCGCACAATACGAACATCCAGCACTGCAGCAGAAATGCTGTTGGCCTCGCCATCCAAGTTGCAGGGAGATGTTGGTGATAGATTGGTTGGGCATCTTGTTCAAGCCCTTGTGCATGATGACAAGCTGCAGGTCAGGGCTGGTCCACGCGGAAAAGCCCAGTTATTCCAGCTTACCACAGTGGGATCTGTGTCATCTACTGTTGCAAGTGCTACAACAATCACACGGAGGAGTGAGGAGCTGGCCAGAAGAGAGACAGCAATGTGTGTCAGTGCTGACGGTGTGCGGGCTCAGGAGGTTGCTGGCATACGCAAGTTGAGTTCCTCCGAACGAGACAAGCTCCTTGAAGAGGCTGGTGTGAAGCCATCCCAGCCTGCTGCTGGTTCGCTGCTGGCAACTAAGGCCGACATGGATTTGCCCTGGAGCCAAGTTAGAAAGCTGAAGCAGTGGTTGACGGCAAGCTGCTTACACCCGGAGTCAGAGTGAACAGCAAGGGCGTTTATCGCAGCCAACGTGCCGAAGTACACATGCGTGGAAGTGCCAATGGCGACAAAGGGGT